ATTTTGATTCTTTTGTTCATGATGTGTAGTTTGTTTATTATTTACGCTATCATGATTACTACATTGATGGTCAACATAAGATTCATTATGTTGTTTACTTGTTTCTTTTGATACTGATTTGTTACTACTTTCAAACAAACTTTGAGAATTATATTGATGATCATTGTATTGATGTTGAGATTCTCTGGAATGATTGCTTGGAGAACTATGTATAGGTACATAATTTTCAATACTGTGTAGATTTTGCCAATGATCTGATTGAACTTTTGAGATATCTTTGGAGAGAAATAAAGAATCTTGGACGTTTTTATTACTAAGTTCATTAAATTGTTCTTGATTATGATAATGTTGAGTATGTGTAGGAGAATTACATTCATTGTACTGTTGAGTATGGTGCAGTTCTCTATTATGTTCAGGTGGTGATTCATAATTTTGATGAACGATATTTAAATAATTAAATTGATCATTTAACATAGATATAGGTGAAGATCTGTCAACTATGGAATAATATTGTTCAGTCTTATTGTCTTGCATATAATAGTCTTCCCATGGGTCTTTAAATTCTGAAAAATCTGCTGGTCCTAAATGAACATCGTTCTGTGTTTTGTCTTGTACAATATTTGCATAAACAGGACGTCTTGGAATAAAGGGATCAAACGATAAAGGAGAAAATTCGTGCCAAATTGGTGCCAATGTGCCGGTGGCCTATGCAAGCATCATGCCAAAACAAAAAAAAAAAATGCACATTCAGTTGGTTAGTAGAAAACTAATATAACAGTGTCTATTTTTCTTATACAAATGCTACTACTTAGAACATGTGTATAGTATACTAAAAATATTATTATAAACCACATAATTGTGTAGAGTGGTATTTCTGATATATATATCTCAAATGGTACTTACAACAAATAAATTGTGTATGTAGGCTAAAAGCTTTAGAAATCCAAATTTATATAAAATAAAGCGAAAAACAAAAACGGACACTGACCTATGAAAAAAAGTATTATAATTTTAGAAGTTACATATTTTTAGTTTTGATTGAACTTGGACAAAATTCTAACTTAAATATTACAAAAAAAGTCATATCAGTAAATGCCACTCTGAATTACTAATAATAAGCACTAGTATAATTTTATTCAACAATATACATATTATTTATATGCTTGCTATGTGCAATATATACAATCTTAACTCTACATGTAATAATGTGTGAAGGTAGTTATATGTTACCTATATTATTTTTATACACACTTGAAAAAAATGTACAGTATAAATGGTATCTTAACAAAAGCAATAGAAGCATGTTACATAAAATCTTACCTGATTTCCTAACATTTAATTTAGTAACTTATTGCTTCCTTATCCGAGATATAAACTTTTATAATCTGATAATACCACACAAAATAAAACGTTTTCTACAGTAGTATATACAGTGTTGTATGAAAATTCATAAGCATTACACTCCTTATGCTACATAAAAAGAATAATTAAACTCACCATGACAGATGATAGTTGAGGATGCACTTTTTCACAAAAGATATTCCACCATAACTGCAACAATGGCTGCAAATGTACAGAATCCACTGGTGGTTGAACAATACCAGTTAATGTATCAAAATACTGTAACCATGGTTTTGTAATACCAATAAAATGTATTATTCTAACATCATCTCCAAATCTGGTAAACAATAGTATTTATAATTATTTCATTTTGTATTTATATTAAACTATACTTCACATATAAATGAATTAATGCATACAAAAAGGTGATAATTAAATAAGTAGATTTTCTTACTGTTTGAAAGCAGGAAGATAGGAATATACAGCAGTAGAACACATATTATAGATAAATGGTAGATGTTTAGAAATGTCTTTATGTGCCCAATCGCTAAAGTACAAGTTCAGTAAACCTTGGTCACCACCGTCGAATGAACCTTTAGCAGCAGCAAAGGCAGTAATAGAAGCAAAAGTTTGTTGAGATGGTTTGTATACAAATACACCAGAATTGAAACAATCAGGCCAACCCACATCAGGGGCTGCAGACAGTTCTTCCCTCTCAAATAATTCATCACAATTTCTAACAACCTGAGGTACATAAATTAACAATTAAAAAATAGTCACATCTTGATTCATAGAAATTGATTTTATACACTCACAAGAGTATCTGCATCAAGAAAAACACATTTCTCATATTGAGTTAATCTCCAACAATGCAATTTAGTGAATGTAATTCCCAACTCTGGTCTAGCTAAAAGTGCCAAATTAGCTTCATCTTTTGAATCAAGTACATTTACTTCCATTACTACAGAAAAAACTGCTGACAATTTTTCCCTATATAAATAAAAAACGAAGCTTTTTCCAGTAAAAAAGTTTAAACATACTTATTTACTGTTGGTTCAGATTAATACATAATCAAATAACAAAATAATATATGCAATTGCTCACCTCATTGTTTCTGTTACTCCAGGAGTAACTAAAACAGCCAGTTCATGTTTGGTACCAGCTCGATATAAAGAATGTGCTAAAACTAAAGCTCCTAATGAATAAGCATCATTTGTGGCCAATGTAACCCAGGCGTATCCTGTAATTAATAGTGACGATAATTAGAATAGAAATTTAGGCAAAAATAATGACAAAATTAGGATTACAAATGAGAAAAAGGATTATTTAAAAACCAATATTTTGCAGGCTTTTGTTTGTAAATTACATCGTACACGATAATATTGCGATATCATTATGCATATTAATAGATGTCATTTATCGAGTGGGAAATTAACTGTCTGCAGACGTTAAAACATTAATTCCTGGATTGTCTATGATATTACATCATTAATACGACTTTAATAAGAATGCACTCTTTTTTCCTCGATATAAGTAGGTCATTGAAGATAACATCCTGAACTTTGTAAATGCCATTGACTTAGCTTTACTGTTTATCTTTCTAATGATTATGTAAAAGCAAAGACAATCCTACTAATTATACATACAGGAAAAAATGTTGTCGGCTAATAATAGCAACAGAATTATTATACAATAGTAAAAGATAAGTGCAAGCGTAGGTTTTGATTGTGGGAGTGATTACATTTTTGGTCTAACAAATGTTAAACCGTGAATACATTAAAAATTAAAAATGATAAAAATAGCTTGGAGCTAGATTTAAACACGTGAACTTAACTGCGTTCAACTTGTTTTTCACCAATAAGAAATTCAAATACGTTTTATTTATAACTCTTTCTATTTCTATTTCTCTTTCGTAAATGCCAGTGCACCAGTGTGTGTTAAGCGGGACACCGAATTTCTCGAAATTCGAGTCTAATTTTCCTGGATAATATTCTATTTTTAATCATTATCTGAACATTAAGCTAACGGTGTGTCGTAAGATAAAGAGACTCGGGGGGAAAAAAAAGCTTCTAAATAAGAAATAAAATGATTGACTATACTGCTATTCATGATAATGAGTTATCATTCCTAGCTACTATTTGAGTGTATATAATTATTACGAGATTTGCTTTCTTTATTTAAAGTTCAAATTTCTTATTCAATCATTATGAAACTTTACTATACAACACGTGTTTTGTGTAACTACATCAAATATGTAACAATTCTAGAATTATTTCATGCAGTTTCGAGCCTTGAAAATGTACCGTTCGCGTTTCTGGAATGGTTGCATTATACGTATTGACATTGAATAAGATATTAGGTTTCCTATGTTAGGTGCATCTCACGAAGTTATCATTATAATCATAGAAACAATTAATTATCAATAAAATAGTGAATTCAAATAGTAGAATTGATGTTTATCGTTTGCTATCGATAAACGAATTAATCGATGTGTTCGATACTCGAGGATATGCATTTGGTTTCCGGTTGGTAGAAACCGGAAACGGTAAAAGTTCTAAAGTATTGCGTTGCAAGCTTGTAGCATTGTGTGTATCTTTAAATAGTCGACAAATTCTTTCAAGAAGGTGGATTCCATCAAAGGCGTGGGTAAAATTAAATGCAATGAATGCAACGGAACAGCAACGAGTCACGAGTGTAAGAAAGAAGAAAGGAGTCGTGAAAGAGAATAGATACAGGAGAAAAGCTCAGATTTCTGCTACCGGTGTTCTCCGAAACAACCTCGATTCTTCTTAAATTAACTATGATTATTTATCGTTTTCGATACAAAGGTAATACAGTAATATTTAATATCCTAAAATTATGAAATTAAATTCCAAACTGCGTCCAAGATTCGAGTAAAATAAACTATGAAATGAAACATTTCTACATCTCTGCCAGAATAATGTTTATTTCGACATTAGATTGTTCGTAAATTCATCACCAGAAGATCCGGATTTTGGCAGAAGAATCATTCGTGTTGCGTGTCTGGTATTTTCTAGGGGTGAAAAAAAAAAGGACGAAACATTTATCTTGGCTATGAGAAACGCGGTGCTCGGCTTCTCGCATATTGTAATACGCAGACGAAACCCGAGAGGCAGAGTGCCGGCGTCGTTGTGCCACACAGGTTTATATTTATACAAGCCGACCAGCTTATAATAGCAACCGAGCCTCGCGTTTGTACAAAATGCATTCATATGCCTTGCCTTAGGTCAAGCACTTGTCACCCAAGTCTGACCAGATTTCCTTATATGATCATACCACGCGTCTGAGAATCGACACTTTCTCTGTACAACGACCACATTAATTAGTGCCATTTATTATTTTTATCTCGTCGGCACTATGAACCCTCGATTATGTAAACTATATCTAGCTAGGAAATGAAATTTTTGATAATAACTCTTGCAAATTAAAAAGAACATTGTTATTCATTCATTGTTTGATTTGATATTTGAGGTACCGATACCTCTGACTCGATACCAAATAGATATCGATACTTTGTTTCGATCCAACTACTGCATGAAAGTATCGATAGCTTGGTGGTAGTATACTTTCGATAATACGTTGAAGCGAATAAATAGAACTTTAACCAGATTTATTATTAATTTTTAATATCTTTTCAGTTACATCTATGTATTTGGTATAATATCGACTTATTTCTCAATTATTTCGAGGAATGCAACTTGTAAACGAAGTCTGATTGATCATCAAATAAATTACAATAACATCACGATAACAATGCGGCGTATGAAGTAAGGTAAAGATAAGAAGAAATAGATATGTTCTTTGATTTAATTAGAAATCTATAGATATGTGCAATAATGTATATTGATCTTCATGGTGTATTTAGATGAACATTATAAACTAGAATACCGAAGCCAACTAAAACGAAGGTCAAGTCTGAAGTTATATAAAAATAGTGCTCGTTTATCCTGTGTCAATTGAGGTACAATGAACTTAACGATCCAAGCTTCCGCTTTCACATTACTATACTGTAGGTACTTGCAATAATATACTTTTCATTTTGATACGAATTTTATATACAAAATACTACATGCAATTATATCGTCACTTCCTACATTTCATTTTAATATTTATCTAACGAATTCAAATTATTAGTTTTTATAATAGAAAGGGTTGTATTGAAACAAACGTTATTTGACAAAAGTATTTTGCCAGCACCGAATTTACTTTTTTTTTTCTTCATGAATGAAGATTCTTGTGGGTATATCTTTACTGTTACATCACCATGGCATGTCGATCAATAGATGTATTAATGTTATCGTAACAGTATTAAATAATCTTCGGTTACAGAAGTATTAAATTAAGTATTACGAACGAAGACTAATTAAAACTGAAAATAAACGTTTACAATGAGTGGTAGATGCGTGAAATACATCGGTCTTTAGATATGTATCATTTAAAAAGATAGTGGATACATGTAAATAAGAGTGGCGTGGATACGAATTTTTTTTTTTTATAAAGTTTGAGTAATTTTATCACCTGTAAAATAAATATAGAAAGATAGACGAGATTTGGCAAGGAGCCGCAATTTCTCCCCCAGACGGCTAAGAATAAACTGTAGGAATACTGGTATGAGTTCTTATTTTATGCAGAAGGAATTTTCTATCTAATTTAACAAAGGATAAAATATATTTACACATTAACTGAAATTTTAAGTATAAAGCAATTTTCATAAAATTTGATTTTTTTACTTTTATTATGCAAATTTTAATCATGTATATTTTATTTTACAGCTGAATAAATAAAAGACATTATTAATATGTATTCATAATTTTATAGGTAACCAAGTATAATATCTTTATTGCGTTTATATACCATAATTGAAATACAAAATATTAAATTGGCGCCAAGTTTCTATGAAAAAGCAAAAAGTTTGTGCGCATGCGTATGAAGGAAAATCGCTAAGATGAGCGCGAACCAAACCGATTTTAGTGAAATAAATTAAAATGAGAGGAACGGTTTACAGTCGATGGAAAGAGACTACAATGAAACGTATTTTGTGTAAGTAAATAGATAATTGCGATAGCGTGGAAAAATAAGAATGACATATTTTTACATTTTAAGAGGTTATTATTCGTTGTCTATGGGAGATATAAATCATATGAAGGTCATTGGGTCAAGACCGGTTACCGGCGACGTTATCACACACCCTAAATGAACTCTCAATGAACGTAACCTTCAGGCAAAATGCAGAAAACTGTGGAAAGATAAAGGTGCACATTAAAAGCTTTCTGTACTTACCACCCATAGTTGGAAATAAACTTTATTTCTTTTTTAACAGATCAATTCTACACACTTAACACTTGCCAATGCCCACACAACTGACAAAAAATTGTACGCACTTCATCAGCGCTACAATACGAGTGACGACTCGCAACTCTCCTACCATTCCACAGCGCTCTCCCCACCTTATGTATACTAACTGTTCTGTATTATCTACTGAAAGTTTTACAGATTTAGTAGTACTTACATGTGTACGTATAAATTGTTAAAAACAAAAATAACTTAATAATATAATTTAATTTAAGTGGGAAATGATATATTATACAGAATATTCATATTCATGTATAATGAAAATTTATTTAATAATATGTCTTTCATACGTTTAACAGGGCTTCCACGTGCAGTGACAAAATTAACACATAGGACCATTTAAATAAAACAGGTATTCGGTCTAGCAGTTATTTTATTGTATAAATCAAACAATTTCCTTTGCAACGAACAAACGCAATATAAAAATAATTGATAAATCATGCGCGCCAATTTTACAGATATTCGCGACACCTATCGCAAAAATACTGCAGTATGCTATGCGTCGTTTCAGTTCCGGGCGTTCCTCGACGACAAACAAACATGTATCGAGTAGCGGGAGAAGGTACGGTAGCGGTTGAAATTATAGCGATTCGTTCGCTTGTGCGCTATAATCCTTCTAATCCTGGAATAGCCTGTTCAATACCGTAAAATGTAGCTCATCCTTTAGATCGAGTCAGTTGTGACAACCACAAGATACGTATCTATGAGATCAACTCTCATCTCCATCTCCAACACGTTGACGTTCACTGAGGAGTGGCGCGCAAAAAGATGGCCAGCTCGCCGACCAGCATCGAAAATCAAATAGACAGTTTTTTGGAACAATTTAAACGCAGTGCCTCCCGCGCAATGGAGGAATCTCACAGGTCCAGTTACAATGCTTGCAGTAATAGTATCAGTCATAGCCGGAGTGGGAACCTCGATCTTGAACTCTTGGAAGCTGGTAAGTTTTTCATACAACTTTATTAAATATATAAATTAGTTGCATTAAAATTGAATTTTCATTGCTTTTTAATAGTCCTTCTAACCCCTTTCTATTCTATGTCCATAGACTATCAGTTTTTCACTGTTGTCGATTGATTTTTCGGGCGTATCTTGTATATTTTAATGTATCCGTTTTTATAACAATACTGATGACTTAAAGACATTTTTGCTTTGTATCTAGTAATCTTTTTATAATACTGTGTGCTAACAATCTATATAAAATTATGTAGGTACAATGTTTTATATTTATGTCATTATAATTTTAAAAATGTAGTAATAAGCCTGTCTCTTGAAATCAGAATTACATCATTAATCAATATCAGCATTCATTTTAAAATATAAAAACAATATGTACTATATAGGTACATGGTGTAAATATTATGTTAATGTATATTTAAATAGTAAACGTTTCGTGCATCATTTGATAAGAATTATATTTAAAAAGTGTTTATTATAACTGTGTAATAAGACATTTTAGTAGCAAAATTTATATTATTTATTTTTTATAATGTCAGTGTAGCAAAGAAAAGATGTTAATCAAGTAACACCTGTTTTGGGTGAATGAGTAAATTTCTGATTCAGTGATGGAATAATCAGATACTAAAATTAAATCTACTTTGATTTAATTGTGCATTTTGACACTGACATGCTGCAAGTCACGTGCAGTTACCCCTCTATTGAAAATCGAGTCTTTTGCGATTGGTTGTTTCATCTTCTCTTTACCTCCACCGTGGAGCGTTATGGCGTCGTATCTCTGTTATATTACGATAGAGGTCGTCGTCCGTTGTATGTAGCTGTTCATGGCATCGAGTTAGAAAATTGTAGGGTTGTAAGATGCATTCAGTTTGTTTGTGAATAAATACTGATTCAATGCATTGTTGATTATCAGATAATCACAGAGCTCGTGATAGTTTATAATATAATCACTCTTATAAATTTCGACTTTATTTTTACACGGTGTGGTAGCGTTGCGGTTATCTTGAAATTTTGGGGTGCGTTGATGTACTTTGGAAATACCGGCTGTGTTGTTCGAATAAAGAGTCACCGGTATCGTTATAAAATTTCATTAGATAAACGTACGCGACTAAATTGGATTTACCTATTACATGTTAGTAATGGAATAGCCTTGTAATAACTGAATTGCTACGCGAAATATTATCGATTGTGAAAATTTCTTTAAAATAGCAACATGATTCTTCGACGGAAATCAGTGCACAACTGCAACTGCCCTTGTCATCAGCATTGTTCTACTAAATGTGCAGGTTTGAGTTATGCATTTTTCTACTACTTTTTCGATCAATTTCTCATTTGTGATTTTAAAATTTGAATTGTAAATAATAAAAGCAATCATTGGAACTCCTTTTTAAACAATTATTGATTTATTTAAGTACTGGATTTGTTTACAACAGTTTAACTTGTTAGTAATAGTAGATGTCTTATAAATGATCGATGTCCTATGTATGTGAGATTATGTAAAAATATAATCTATACGCATATGCATATAAGTACGACGTATTCGTAATGTTTTAAATTTATTTCTTTATTTATCACATCGTCTATATTTACATTATATTAATTAATAGATTAAATGAGTATTATGAATTGTCAGCAGAACGCATTATGTTTTTAAATATTCAATCTATATATTTAACATACTTACCCGAGTTTGAATTGTTTTATTTACGTATATAATTTCATTATATTATACAAATTTTTAAACAAATATTAAATTATTCGAAGCTAATATACGTTTCGATTGTATTTGTGCGAATGTAACGTGGAAATTGTCTTATTTATACGGGATTGGACCCGTTATCCCTTCCACGCAATATACATAGACTACATTCGCCATATCATTGACCGTTTTGCTAGAATATTAACCGGTGTACAGAGACGTATAAGCAATTTATACTGTGACAATTTATGTTTACAAATGTGATATTTTTTGAAAAATGTTATAAATGTCCTTATACATATAATTATATATTTAAGTTAAGGAAAGGTAAGTAAAACTTGACTTTTGTCATGAAATATCCAAGTTGAAAAGCCATTGTTGTGCATAGCAATTCTCAACCATCTTAGTGTCAAACATATTTCTTTTTTAAATAAAATATCATAGGTATATAATTATCCTTCTTCATTCCTAATATTTATTGAGATTTCATTTGTTACCATAATTGGTATATTTCATAAATGATATGAATATAAAAGTGACAATGTAATCAGCTGATCATTGTTTAGGATGTTTTTATGCAACATTGTTGTTGTACACTGTGTTGTAAATGTATTTTTGGATTTTACCTTTTAGTTCCTTTTTTAAGTCTGCATTAATATGTTTTTATCATTAAAATATTGCTGTTTAACAGAAGACATAGAAAGTGTTAAAAAAAACATAATATAATATACAGTGGAATATGGATATTAGTCTGTGCGAAGAAAATAAAATGCAAATGGAAACAAAAATTACCTTGCAAGATACTCTACGCGATATAAAACCCCAAGTATCAAATTGTCAATGTATAGTTAATGATGAATTGACATACATGCAAACAAGAGAAAAGGTAAGTGGATATTTATGTAAAAAATATTTAATTCTTTTGTTAAATGTATCAATCATAATATGTTCCATGATTTAATGATTTTACATTTAAAATATTATAGTGATAATGTTTTACATAATACGAAAGTTTTTGATATTATAGAAGGCATATCCAGATGCAACAAATACTACTTTTAAGCCAAAGAAAAATGTCAGAAATATTAAACTGAAGAAATCTAAAATTGAAGGGCAATCCAGTTATGATTCTACAAAGCTAGAGGATAATCCAGCTCAGGTATTGGAACGATTTAAGCGAGGATGCGAATGTCAAGATGATCAGTGCTTCAAAGGTCTAAATCCAGAGTCAGTATATAGGCACAGATTAAATATTGCAGAATTAACAAAGGCTGAACATGATATGTATTTAATGGGTGTCACCATGGCATGCTTGACAAATCCATATGAAACAGCAAGACATAAAGAACGACGTAGATTACGTGCTCAGTATATGTATCAGAGCAGAAGAGTTTGTTTAGATGCTTTTTTGTATCTTGAAAACTGTACACATTATCAAATAAAAAGAATTAGAAAGCATTTGATGACTCATGGTGTCACACCAAGAGTTCATGGAAATCATGGAAAAATTCCACATAATACTTTCTCTTTAGACATTTACAAAATTGCTACAGAGTTTTTAAAAAAATTTATTGAACTACAAGAAGTAAAACAGAAAACTAAAGTGGCAAAAAATGCACCATTACATTTGTCATCAGATATTACACGTAAAGTTGTATATGACTCATATATACAGTATTGTAGGAAACTGTCGCCCGGCACAAAAATAATGGGGTACTCAACATTTAGAAGATTTATGAAAGTTCAATTTCCACAAGTAAAATTTGCAAAATTAGAATTTATGATTAGAAATCAAAACATACAAAATCAAGGATGTAGTAAAACGGAGTCAGAAAAGAAAGATATAAGCGATGAAAAACAATTAGAATCGACAAATTTTGTAACAGAGAGCGGTGCCTTATTGCCTTTATTAATTGCTAGTGAAACAGGACAAAGTGATACTTATTTTTTAACACCAGCCAGTAAATTACAAGATGGTTTAAGTTATGAGATAACTACATCTGGGCTTCTAGTCAATAAACCAGCATTGCCTATTACTCTAACTAAAATAAATGCCGTTTAAGGACAATTTCCTTGAGGTTTAATATTTAAATATTATTACGAAAATAATATACATATAAAATAAATATAAGTGCTGTTTTAAACGCTACTTTTTATATTAAAGAAATAATATATACTTTATGTAATAAACATGACTTTTTCTTTGCTCATAGATCTATGTATGTAGATTATTTAAATTACTTTTGCAAATTTTTCATTTACGAAATAGTAATTCATATAAATATTAATGTATAAGTATTTTGTCATTAGTTCTAAATACTTAATAAATTATTGGTATGTTTTTTATTTCACTAAAGGAAGCAGTATTAATATAAGAAGAAACTTCTTGCTAACAAAAAGATGCATTTGAAAAAGAAATAATCATACTTTATTATCGTGAATAATATGTGAAAATAAAATATTTTTTAGCTTTCTTCTTCATTTAGTATTTATTATTCTAAGTATATATTAATTTTATAAAACATCCTGTATTTGTATGTATCATCAACCATGTGTGTACATAAATTTAGAATAAGAATTTAACTTATGATTTTTTTATATTAATATTTACAATCTGTGAAATAAAAGTATGTAATAAAACAGTACAATGAATAATGAATTTGTATTTTTGCAATCTGTTAATTTATCTTCATTATCATACATTAAGCATGTGTATGATAAATTTAAATAATGATACAATCCAGGAGTTTTACAGACTTTTTATTACAGTTACATTCCAAACATGCAAATTAAGAGTCCAGAGATTCATTAATACAGTGCTTCTCAAATCTCTTATAAAATCCATTAACAGATACTTTATTAAATTGTTATTATTAGTTCAGGTTTAACTATGGTATAATTAATTTATCAGTTGTTGGTAGAGGTAACAACTCTATAAATAAATTGTAATCTGTATTTCATATTGTACTGAAATATAGTATTATTAGCTTGTAATAAAATATGTACTATTATACTTTTTTCAGTATCTTAGTTATGAATATAAGAAATACTAATGTATTTGTTTTAATAATAAATTTCTCTTTGAAAGAGTCAATTGCATTATTTATGTAATCTTGAGGATTGAGAGCCTCTTATTTTACAGTTACAACTGAAATACTGTAGGTATAGCAGGAGACTACTTCAGATAGTTGGAGTCAGCAAGGTCATATAAGTACACTCTGAGGTTTCACAGTGACATATAGTAAATATTGTATAGGTGATCATCAATATAAATTCTATACTTTGTTAAAATAACTTTTGTTAAACATCTCTACAATCATACTACAAAATTTTAATTGTGAACTTACAATATAATGACAGTTTACAATTATAGACCATAATATTGTATGTTATTTAATGTTATATTTGTTATAAATTTTAAACTACATAAGTTTATATTTTACAGAAGATGTAGAGAGTATGACTGGTGAAATTGAAAATGGGGATTTGGCAATTCGAGATGTTGCTGACCTTCTCCAATCACAGTATGCTATTATAGCAGGTAAATAAAATTTAATTAATATCACTCAAGTATGTTATTTAATTATACATGTATAATTATAGGAGGGAAAACTCGAGAAGGTTGCCCCATAATTACTTTTCCTGATAATGGCAATTTTCACAACTTATCTGATGTGGATTATCAACGTCTCATGTTATATCTTACCTCTGTGCCAACGTGAGATTTAAATTTGGGTATTGTTATTAAAATTTTATGTGATGTAGAATAGTTACTAAGTATATTTTTATTGATTTCCAGGTTACAAGAAGCTGATCTTGGATTTCATTTAATAATTGACAGAAGAAATGATAAATGGAATTCTGTAAAAACTGTATTATTAAAAATTTCTGTAAGTATATGTACTAGGCAATGTAGTGCTAGTATAACAAGAAATATAACAATTAAGCTAAATATTTTAATTCAGTTCTTTTATCCTATAGGGCTTTTTTCCTGGTTTAGTTCATGTAGCGTATGTACTACGTCCAGCTGGATTTTTACAAAAAGCTATTTCAGAAGTGTCAAATAAATTATTTAGGGAAGACTTTAAATTTAGAGTTATATTTTTAGCAAATGTTGCTGAACTTCATGAATTTATAGATAAAGATCAATTAACTGAACAACTGAGTGGCACTTTACCATATTGTCACCACACTTGGATTCAAAATAGAATTGTAAGTAATAGATGTAATGAACTTAAACGTTATTTTTCTATTTTTTTTGTTTGTTTTGTTTTAGAGTTTAGAAAAATTTTCATCAATGACCCAAGACGTATCTCTTGCATTGGACTCTTTTACACGGCGATTAGCCGAGATTGAATTTCCTAACAATACTATAGCAACGACATCTTTATTATCTCAACAACAAGTTGAATATAATGAATTAAAGGAAGAAATTCTTAGTGCTGCAAGACATGGAGAAGCACTTTTGGACAGTGTAAGACAACTAACTGGAAAAGGAACGGCTGATAGATTAGGAAACGTGGCAGCGATAGAACGGTATAAAGTAGTTTAACTTTGTATATTATAGAGCCTAATTAAGCAGTTATGCCTAATTAAAAATTATTAATTTATCTTTAGATTACTTGTCCAGCTAGAAGAAACAGAACGAACTTTTGATTTATTTTGGTCACATCATAGTTCTCGTTTAAGACATTGTCTAGCTTTGAGACAATTCGAAGCTGACTTTAGAGAATTGCAAGCAACATTGGACCAACATTTAAAAACCATAGAAGAGATGACAGAAGTAGGGGAGACTCAAGCAAGGGTTGAACAATTACTCTGTGACACATCAGCATTTCAGAGAATATGTAGAGTATGTACCTTTATTTTTTTATACATCTATATTATTTTATACCATTAAGCAAAATTACTTTAAATTAAAACGCGAAAAAACAAGTATATATCAGATCAATATCTTCATCTACCTTACAAATATAAGAGATTAATATTTATATGTAAATGTTTAAAAACTATCACATACAAATAGTCTATCACAACCAAAACTAAAAAGATAAGACTGCTACAATATTAATAATTTTAAGTTCGAGAATGTTCACAAAGCATTTAAATCAGCAAGATATAATATTCAAACCAGTATTACACGAATTTCGTTTTAATAAAGTATAAAATTTAACAGTAAAATAGTTTAATTATTAAAAGTTTTTGATGCAAATTCTGGTTTGGATACTCTTCTAAGCAATCACATATACATATAATGCACATCATGCACAAATGTTACTTCGCACCGCTTTCCTCATTTTGTCGATAGTCCTATTTGTTGCATACCATGTGGATTTGGGTCTTGGTAAGCAATCCACTTAACAAAATACGTATATTTTGTAATAGATTTACATTTTTAAACAAAGTGATACTAATTTAGTATTTCAACTTTTAAATTCTGTGTTACTATATTTTAAAATACAAAAAAAAAGGAAACTTTATTACTTTTAATAATTTCTTTATGGGTTAGTGAATTAAATCTCTATCAATATCATTGTCTTTGTCGATTCGATAAATATAATATACATAATATAAGATTAAATGTTGTTCATTGATGAATAAAATTATAGGGATTTAATTCATGCCTTGTATTGGCATGACAGATTTGGAGAATGAATATCATTGTTATTTCTCACTTTGCACTGCACGTAAGATAGTATCTTTATTTTAGAATAATTTTTTAGATGAACAACGAAAATTGATGAAAACATTCAATTACTGTTTGTAGTATTTTTGTCAATGTTATTTTAATATCTATTAAACATCAATAAAATTATATAAATTTATAGGGAGATATAGAACGAGCAGAGGAAGTAATATCTGCTGGTCAACAACTGCTATCTGGGAGGCATCAGTGTCCTACAGATGTTGTAGAACCTAAATGTGTGGAACTACAGAGAATTTGTACTATTTTAAGTCAAAGGCTGGAAAGACGGTTACATATGTTAACCAAATGTAGAGAACTAATGGAGCGTATAGACAAGGTAATTATTTACATTATAAGTTATTAAAAATTAAATATTAGAATCTTCCAATTATACATAACAGGCAAATGCATGGTGCACACGCGGAATAGAATTGCTTGCATCACAAAATAACTCAACACCGCCTGATCAAGCACTTCAAGAATTGCAAGAATTAATTGAAACTGCAGAGGAATTCCATCATCCCAGATGTATTTTTCAAGATTCTATAATGCCGGAAACAAAAGCTCTTATTACTCAAGTACGTGTATCTTGTGAAGTATTATTTTTGCGAATTTATTGTGTTTATTTTGTGAAATAAATGCGATAGGTTCTACAAAGAATAGAAGATGTGTCTTTAATGTGTGATAAAAGAATTATGACACTAAAGCAGCAATTAATTAAACCTGCAAGACCAGTTCAAACTGTAACTCCTGAACCAGTTAAACCATTGCAATCACTGCCTCAAATTGTAAAACCTGGTAGAATTCTAAAAAAAGCTAACACGATGCCGAAGGTAAATTAGTATATTTAATCTAATATACACGTGTACAATAATCAATTATTGTAATTTGTAATATTTTTTAGATGGAGATGAGTCCCATAGAAGGAGAATCATCATCACCGGAAAGTGAATCTAAAGATGTAGAAGCTTTGCGTTTAAAACGAGGACATGTTTTAGCGGAACTTGTTGAAACAGAACGAATTTACGTTGCCGAGCTAGGTTCCATAATTAAAGGATATAAAATGGAATTAACAAACGAAGCAATGGCTCATTTAATACCGGCAGCATTAGTAGGCAAAGGAGATGTTTTATTTGGTAACTTAGAAGACATTTATATTTTTCATGGAGAAACGTTTTTAAGAGATTTAGAAAATTGTATTTCAAATACTGAACTTGTTGCATTGTGTTTTGTACAAAGGGTAAATATTTTTGATACATTTTAAGATTAATTTAAGGAAACATTTTCAACAATTTCATATAAAATATATATTTATTTTTAGCGTGACGTATTCTTCAGATTATATAGTTATTACTGTCAAAATATTCCGAGATCTGAAAAATTGCGAGAACAAATACAAAACGAACCTCAGTTTCTTGCAACTTGCCAACAAAGACTCGGTCATAAATTACCTCTGGCTGCATACCTTCTAAAACCTGTGCAACGTATAACGAAATATCAGTTATTATTGAAAGATCTTTTAAAATACAGCGAGGAACCATCATGTTCCACTGAGTTACAAGAAGCGTTAGATTGTATGCTTGTTGTATTGAAATGCGTTAACGACAGCATGCATCAGACTGCTATTACAGGATTTGCCGTAAGTTCAATATTTAATTGTATTCGGTAATGTTTCATTAAAAGTTAATATTATTTGTAGGAAGATTTAAATGCACAAGGCGAGCTCTTATTACAAGGCTCTTTTAGCGTATGGAGCAGTAGTAAGCGAGAACGATTACTTAGGTTGAAACCATCTCAGCGTCATATTTTTTTGTATGAAAAGGCTCTTATATTTTGTAAGCATAGTAAACCACAAGCTCACAATAAAGCTACATACCATTTTAAAAGATATTTGAAGGTAACTTTACATATATATTTCATATTTCTATTAAATTTCATTATTATATATAAAATTATAATCCTATTTTTATTAGATGTCGCAAATTGGACTAACAGAATCAGTTAAAGGCGATGCAAGACGCTTTGAAATTTGGCTTCAGGGTCGAGCCGAAGTGCATACAATACAAGCATCTACTGTTGAAGTCAAACAATCCTGGGTGCGTCAGATTAAAGGGGTTTTAATGTCCCAATTGGCTGAACTTAAAGGAAAACAGAATTCTGCTCTCGGAAAAACCAATCATAAGTAAGTAATATCATTTACCTAGAACAAAAACAATAATGATAACGTTATACCAAATATTTGTAGACCATTGCGCCAGACGATTTCATGGGAAGCTCAAGGCAGTGTTTCTGGATCTTTGCGAACTCTTTCAGTTGACGGTAGTAGTGTAGTAGGAAACATTACAGATCTTTTACAATCAACGGAGGATGATGTCGGTTGGAGTTCAGAAAATAGTAACACGGACGATGAAGATGCTTTTAGCGAAAATCCTGGTCCAGCTCCTGTAAATTTTTTTTTTGTTAGAAATAATTATATTATTAAATGAAGCTAATGTTATGTAATTTTTATTCACAATTAGGGTGGAAGATATGTAGCACTGGCTGATTATTGCGCAGTTGGACAGTCAGAGGTAACTATGCGTGAAGGGGACAACCTAGAACTCCTTAAAGTTGGTTGTGCTGGGTGGTGGTTTGTAAAACTAATAGGTACTGGAATAGAAGGATGGGCACCGGCAGCTTACTTAGAACCAATTAATCGAAAAACTTCGCGCAGTTCACAATCAGTGAACAGTCAAGAAACCATATGAAACAGGCGTCTGACACACTAGGTTTTCCTAGTGTGTTAGGTTCGTACGTATTTAAAGAACACCAGTTATTAAACTCAAATGTTAAAAGTCACGTGTGAGGAGTTTTGTAATGCAAAGATATGGTTAAAACTTTGGAAATCTTGCATAACGTATGTATGACACTTCTTTTAAACTATACAATAATAGCAATATGTGCTTGATTAGTATGATTAACAATGAATAATGGTAGTTCCACATAACTTCCAAAATTACCATTGGATGGAAATAAGTTTTAGACGCTCATGTGATTATTTAATCCTTTATGAAAAAGGTTTAAGTAATAAGAAATCAGGGAGTAAAAAAATGTATAAATTTTTTTACTACGTAAAGTTACGAAAAATTTGTTGGTAAAGTGCTTTATGCAAGCAAATAGAATTTGCATTTACTAAATAAATGTACTATTGATAATATTTATTCTTACAAAGAAAATAATATTTATAGAATTGTATAAAATGTAATTCAATAGGGAATGAAAAAAAATATGTGCACGTAAAATTGTTACAGGTTATACAGATTTGAGATAAGTTGCATAGTGTAATATTGAAAGAAAATTACTACAATGAAATGGAATCATTTCAATTATTCAGTTACTATTCCCATAAGAATTGCATGCAATCTTATCTGTACTTATGACCTGTATAATATTCGAATGTGTGCAAATATTCCAAAGTTCGCATATTGAATGAGATTTTAAAAATTCTTCCGGTTTGTGTTAATAATTTGTTAATAATATTTGATATATTTTTAAACAAAATATATACTTGTTTATAATTATGAAATGGAATCAAATACGTATGTATCATATCGATGAAATATTTTTTAGTAATTTTATACGTATAAGTTTTCTAGTACACTTATATTTATTTATTTCTATAGGTAATATAGTACAATGCAAATTAAAACATTCTCTTTATATTGAAGAGATTTTAGAATATTTGCAAACTATCGAGGAGTGGTTAAAAAGCCTTTAAAATGACAGCAGGTGATAAAATATTTATTTGACGTTTCTGTAAATGAATTTAAAAAAAATTAACGGAAGTTCTCTGTTGGCATATTAATGTAGATACGATAGAAAATATATTGTTATGTCTTTATGACCAAACAGCTTGATACTAGTACTATTTTAGTATATATAAATGACCTATTTAAAGTATTTAAATAAAAGGAAAACGAAAGATAACGAAGTATTGAAATAACAATATACACGAGTTTTTTAGGGGATGAAAAGATTGACACCAAGTTTTATGCAATATACGTATACACTGTAATAAATTTTAGAATGTAACATTTTAGTAAATGAAGCAATTTCAATTTTAGTGAATCTTACCAATGTCTTAAGTATATAACAATAATGAACTGTATATAATAATGTTATTTGTACTAAAAATTTATATTGACGCATAAAAGCTAATTTAAAACATTATTTTATAGGTATAAAGTGCAATAATTATGTTCAACTTATGATCAAAACTAACAAATATTTCGTTAACAGTTCATAATACTTATCTAAGTATTATGAATATAATTTATTTCTTTTTTTCTTTTTTTATTACATGTATCACAATTCTCTATGTGATTATAAGATACACGTATTGAGTACAAATAATTTATTTTAATACTTCATGTTATAATAATTAAGCTTAAAATCTGTAATAAATATATGTGCATAATTTGAACATAAGACTTTTAGTTATACTTAAGTGTTTTATTCATAGAAATTGTGAGTTTTTGACCAAAGAGTCTTTTGTATTTTTCTCTGGTAAAGTAAAAAATACAGAAAACTGTTAATTTATAATTATGAATATAAGCAATTGATTTTATTATTCTTGATTTTGATTTTGCGACTAAATATCATTATAATTCTTATCCACATTTACACCGTCCTGATACTGACTAGTTATAGAATTTCATTGAATAAATATAATTTTATTTTATGTTTTTTTTACTGGATTTATATGCCATGAAAGTTATCTTAAAATCGTTGTAGTGCTTAATAGATATTCACATACAGCAATAGTAAGTGTTTGTGAACATTTCTTTTGTTTCCTTTTTGTTGAAACGTGTGTGTGATACTATAGAGAAATAAAAGAAAAAAACATTGCTTAAAACATTTTTTGTAAACAATATTAAATTAATACATAGACAATAAATATATGTCCACCGTGGAATAATTTCAACGCAAATATACATATTATGAACATAATAATTTAAAGAAATCGACAAACTAACGTTAACGTTCTTCCTTTTAGAAGTTTATAGGCAGGAACATTTTACAAAAGCAAAGATTTACTCTGTGCAATATTTAATAAGATTATAGCATAAGATTATTATGTCTAAACATAAAGCTATATATTTATTTAAAACCCTGATAATAGTTCAATCACTAACTATGACTTTTTAACAAAGAGTTCCTTTCGTTGTTCCTTAAAAATAATTTAACATAAATTACTTCTGTACATGCAATAATGTGAATATTAAAACCTTTTATATAATCTATATAATCAAATCAAATATCGAGAATCACATAGTACATTTATGTTAAAGATATAGAATTTTCGTTTTGTTTTAATTAAGATGAATTATAATTAAGATAAGCAAATCAGTAGTTTAAAAAATTATTGCATTTGAATGAGTAATTGAAACTTTAAATTATGTTACAAATGACCATATCTAATATTATATTTTCTTTAATAAATTTATTGTGTATTTGTAAAAACATTTAATGTAATAAAAATACACGAGCGTACAAATAATCTATTTAATCATTTTTCAATGTATTTTGATAGAAAAAGAGGTAAAAATGTGAATGCAATTATATGAAATGTATATGTAAGTAGTAGTTGTAAAAGTAAACCATTTAAAGAATGAATCATATCCAAAATTCAAATTTAAATATACCAATAGAATCGATTCGATTTTAATTTAAAAGTGAAAGGATAGATGGGGCGAATGTTCCATACACATCAGGAACCATTTTAGTGCATCATTTCAGAGCGCATGGAGGAAATTAACGGTGCTTGGTTATCACGCTCTTCGTCACAGTGATATGTACTCTTGATAGTGAACTTTGACACAAGCATTTTCGAAAACTTTCTATTTTCAACACGATTTAATAAAAACAGATTAATAAAAAAAAATGGCTCCACGATCAGAAGCAGGAGTAAAGGAAAGTTCAGAATTACCGAAAGATGTACCAAAAAGAGGCGTTAATGCTGTTTTATTGGGGCCACCTGGTAGTGGCAAGGGTACACAGGTGAAGCTCTTTTTTCTTCTGCACAAAATCTTCAAAATATTGATTTTTTAATTGATTTTTCAACACCTGTACATATTGTTTTGCTTATAAGAATATTGTATTTTAGGCGCCATTATTGAAAGAACGATATTGTGTATGCCATCTATCTACAGGTGATATGCTCAGAGCAGAAATTAGTTCTGGATCTTCAATTGGGGCAGAAATTAAAAAAGTAATAGATGAAGGTAAATTGGTCAATGATGATCTTGTAGTTAAAATGATTGATCGCAATTTAGATAAACCTGAATGTCAGCGTGGTTTTCTATTGGATGGCTTTCCAAGAAGTGTTCCACAAGCTGAGAAAGTAAGTTAAAAACTTTTAAGTAATGTTTAAGTTATGTAATATTATTATAATTGCTCCTTATCACTGTATCAGTAGCAGAATTATGAGATATACTAATGACCTTGACATGACATTGATATAAAACAAAATAAAACAGTTTTGAAAAGTACCATTAAAATAATTTAGCGTTACATGAATGACTATGAAGAAAAATATTTTTTAATCTCTTAATTTATATAGCTTGATGGTATGCTGCAAAAGAGAAAAACTAAGTTGGATACTGTGATAGAGTTTGGAATTGATGATAATTTATTGATAAAGAGAATCACAGGCCGTTTAATACATCCTGCTAGTGGTAGATCATATCATGAAGAATTTGCTCCACCCAAAGAACCTATGAAAGATGATGTATGTAATAGTAGTTATCTGTATTATAAATTATAAACAAGTATGTGATAAAAGATATATCATTTTATATCAATAGGTTACTGGAGAGCCATTAATTAAAAGGTCTGATGATAATGTAGATGCATTGAAAAAACGTTTATCAATATATCATACACAAACTCAACCCTTAGTTGATTATTATACTTTACAAGGAATTCATTATTATGTAAATGCAGCTCAACCAAGCAACAATGTTTTTCAAGATATTGATCGCATTTTTCAAAAAACAATTAACCAAGACAAGAGTAAAGCTGAAAAAAAGAAAGGTTTCTTCAGCTGGTTCTTTAAAAGTGATGCATAAGAATGTTATAGCACATTTCTCTCTTCTAAGTGAAGCAGATAGTTGATGGGAAGTATATTTTAGTATTGTGGTGATTTCTAGAAGAATTTAATATTTTAGATATATAATTTACGATTCAAAAGTAATTTATATATTTAAACAGGTACATAGTTAATACAGTATGTATTTTTTGATTAAATAATATACTTTACATTTAGTAAAGATGTAAACGGAATCACATTAATTTCGTTAAAAATAGTCCTGTGTAAATCTATAAAGGAGGTATTATAAGTTAATCAATTGAATGCACACATCTTTATTAGTAGCGGGTATTTGGTGATATAATTATAACAAAAAGTAATCGATTAATTGCACCTAAGAAAAAATATATTTGTATATAATGGATACTAGATCTTTCACATACTTCTTTTTTTGATTAAAGTTTACATTCGATAATTTTTATTACAAACATTTACTTAATACTTCAGACATGTGCACCCGAACCAGTATAAATATAATTTTAAAGGAACTTCACTTTTAATATTATTTCTTATAAAAGACTAATCAAGTTATACATTTTTTTTAAACTTAAGTGATAATGATGCATTTTTAAATATTTTATGCTTAAAGTGTTAAATTTATATGTTACACGCACATGTATCAGTTTTTACATTTTTTAATTAAATGAACTTTATTTAGGTAACATAAAGTAATAAATATTTTAAAATATTGTATTAAAAATGCACTGAATCTATTGTCACGCCTATAGATTTTTAAAAATAGTTTTACAAATGGCTATAAATGAAGTGTAATGTATATGAAAAGATATTTTACATAAGCAAAAGTAAATCCAAATATATTCTGGTACAATATTTCTGCCTATACATGTTGTATCATTATCCCATTGTAAATATTTTACAAAGAGAAATGAATGTATATCTGGATGTAATAAAATTTTCAAACTGATGAAATTTTTTTTTAATAATCTATCTTCATTAAGATAGTATGATTATATGTGGAAATTAATTTCAAACAAATTTATAGTTAAGAGTAGAAGTAAAAATGTAATAAATGGTAGAAATGTAGTATCCCTTTAAATATTAATAATGAATGCTATATTAAATAAATTTAAGGGAACTTAAATTAAAGATGCGCGGTAATCGCATGGAGCGCGTTGGGTAAACGTATCGCGCATGTGCATAGATTGCCAATTGTTCGCAAGTCTCGTGAAGAAGCAGGTCCGAGATAAATAAGTTTTCCGCTTGTCGAACGTAGGGATAAAGGTAGAACGAAGAGGGAGAATTCTTTCAATTTCTTAGTGGAAAACTGTTTTCCGTGTACTGAGGGCCGGCGGCCGAGTGATGCACGCATATGTCTAGGCTCGGAGGGACTCAGGTTCTGGCCACAGCACAGGTGAAGAGGACGGCCGCTGATCACACAGCGGTGTTAAACTTTAGTGCTGCAAAGCGCAGCAAGCTATCCGCCGTTGCGGTCACGGAGATCAACGAAACTGAAAACATGACGGATACAGCTGCGGCCACAACTGATACTCAAAAGCGAGCCAATTTCTCAGCGTTAACCGTTGGGAATCCAAACGGCGTCAACAAGATTTCGCCGAGTTTGGCAAGTGCAAAACCAGGCACAGCTAGGAAGCTCGTCATCAAAAATTTCAAAAGTAAGCAAGACCATGGGACTACCTAACCTCAAAATCAGCTGGTATTAATCGTGAAGATTCGTGGTGTAATTTATGGTTGGCACAATGCCTTCAAACATTGCGACATTCCTTTTAACATGACCTTATAAATTTTCTGTCACTCTTTTGCTTCGCATTATGTAGCCAAGGACAAATTGGTCCTAATTGAAATTAATAATACTAAAACGAACATAACCTAACCTGACGTTAAGAATAACTAAAATGGATAAACGTCTTTAACGCGCATTATTTTCATTTTTTATGCAATTTCCAGAAATTTCATATTGCCCTCGATGACACAATTAATTAAAATGTTAATTCATACATTACATCTTTGATTCTGTTAAAGATGTAAAATTTAATCTTAATAACTAATGTAGAATAAATCAATCATTTAAATAACAATGTAACAGTATTAATGTTAATATTACAAATTTCGTACAGATAAACCAAAATTGCCAGAAAATTATCAAGAACAGACATGGGAGAAGTTGCAAGAAGCTGTAATTGCAATACAGACCAGTAAAAGTATTCGTTATTCATTAGAAGAACTTTATCAAGCAGTTGAAAATATGTGTAATCATAAAATGGCATCTACATTATATACAAAATTGACCAGGCTAACAGAAGCTCATGTACAAGCTAACATAGAACAGTTCTTAGCAGAATCAATGGATAGGCATATATTCTTGAAAAAAATGAATGAATGTTGGCAGTCACATTGCAGACAAATGATTATGATTAGAAGTATTTTTCTATATTTGGATAGAACATATGTATTACAGAATCCAAGTATTTTATCCATTTGGTAGGGTTTGTAATATATCTTTGATTAATTCAAATTATTCAGTATTTGTTTCTTATTGTATATTATTTCAGGGACATGGGATTACATTTATTTAGAGTGTACATTGTTCTAAATAATTTAGTTCAAACACGTACAGTGGAAGGATTACTTATGCTCATAGAAAAAGAACGTCAGGGTGATACAGTAGACAGAACGCTTCTTAAATCATTATTAAGAATGTTATCAGATCTACAAATCTACCAAGATGCCTTTGAATCCAAGTATGACATTTGCATATTAGCGTATATATGTATATAAATAATTTATTATTCTGTTATTAATATTAAACTTTTTGTTTTTACAGATTTTTGGTAGCTACAGAAAGATTATATGCTGCCGAAGGTCAGCGATTAATGAACGAACACGATGTTCCTGAGTACTTAGCACACGTAGACAAACGTCTTCAGGAAGAAAATGAACGTTTATTACATTATCTTGATGCATCTACAAAGTATGTTTTTTATATGGATTACTAAAGTATATTCCCAACATGATACTAATTTCAATTTAACGTTGTAGGTGGTCGTTAATACATACGGTAGAGAAACAGTTGTTATCTGAACATATTACTAGCATTTTACAAAAGGGATTGAGTGGTTTATTGGATGAAAATAGAATTAGTGATTTATCTTTACTTTATAATTTATATAGTCGTGTAAAATGTGGTCTCATAGAACTTTGTCAGAATTTCAATTCTTATATAAAGGTATGTTTTATACATATATTACCATAAATTTCTAAAAGTAGAAAATAAATCATACTTTCTTTTATGTTTTTATAGAAAAAGGGTAAAACTATAGTCATAGATCCAGAGAAAGATAAAACAATGGTTCAAGAACTTCTAGATTTCAAAGATAAAATGGACAATATAGTAAATACGTGCTTTCATAAAAACGAGAAATTTGCTAATAGTTTAAAAGAAGCTTTTGAAGCCTTTATTAACCAACGAGCAAATAAACCAGCGGAATTAATTGGTAACATTTATATCTCGATATTCTAAATTATCATTTGGATGAATTAACAGTGAATACGTTTTTATAATCACAGCAAAGTTTGTTGATTGCAAATTGCGGGCTGGTAACAAGGAAGCAACAGAAGAAGAATTAGAAAGATTATTAGATAAAATCATGGTATTATTTCGATTTATCCACGGCAAGGATGTATTTGAAGCATTTTATAAAAAAGATTTGGCTAAGCGTTTGTTAGTTGGTAAATCAGCTTCCGTTGACGCTGAAAAATCCATGTTATCGAAATTGAAACAAGAATGCGGTGGTGGTTTCACTAGTAAATTGGAAGGAATGTTCAAAGATATGGAACTTAGCAAAGACATTAATATTGCTTTTAAACAGGTAAATAAATATTATTTTTAAATATACAAAAGTTTTTTCTTACATATAAGTATTTGAATTACTTAATTGTGAAATTTGTTGTATGTATATCAGTATGCTGGAAATTTGCAAAGCGAATTGTCTGCTAGCAATTTGGATTTAACAGTTTCGATACTTACAATGGGTTATTGGCCAACATATCCGGTAATGGAAGTAACATTACCTCCGGAAATGGTTCAGTACCAAGATGTATTTAATAAATTCTATTTGGGAAAACATAGTGGTAGAAAATTACAGTGGCAACCTACATTGGGACATTGTGTACTCAAAGCTTGGTTTAATCAGGTATTATTTATTTCTTTTAATAAGTACGAGGTGCTAACGATTCACTATTCATTTTATCTAAATTTAAAAACAGGGTAACAAAGAGTTTCTAGTGTCATTATTTCAAGCATTGGTGTTGCTTCTATTTAATGATGCTGATAATTTATCTCTGGAAGATATAAAAGCAGCAACTAATATAGAAGATGGTGAACTAAGAAGAACTTTGCAATCTTTAGCTTGCGGAAAAGCTAGAGTGTTACAGAAAAATCCAAGAGGAAGAGATGTTGGAGATAATGATAGATTTGTATTTAATGCAGATTTTACAAATAAATTATTTAGAATAAAAATAAATCAAATTCAAATGAAAGAAACGGTAAAAATACTTAAACGAATTCTTTAAGTATTTATGCATTCTGTAATAACAGATTTTTAATACATTATATATTCTTTTAGAACGAAGAACAGAAAGCTACAGAAGAAAGAGTCTATCAGGATAGGCAATATCAAATAGATGCAGCTATTGTCAGAATTATGAAAATGAGAAAAACGCTCACGCACAATCTATTGATTAGTGAACTATATAATCAGTTAAAGTTCCCTGTAAAGGTATGTTGGTTATGACGTAGTATAAATACTTCTATGTAAATAAGCCCACTTATATAATAACGTAAAATTTCTTTCTTAGCCTGCTGATTTGAAAAAACGAATTGAATCTCTTATAGATAGGGATTACATGGAACGAGATAAAGATAATGCAAATGAATACAACTACGTTGCGTAACCTGAATCAAATGCCAAAGTCATTTCAGACTGGGTGGTCATTATGTGTTTGCCTATTGTGAATGTGACATGTTACAGAAGAAAAACGAGAAACTTAAAACTGGCTAAATGTCGGCACGATGTTGCGGCATATATTCAGTTGTTAAAAAAATTAGAGTGTACATCATTGTTTTGGTTTTTATAGTGCGCAATGAATACTGGACAATTGAGACCTTTTTTTAAACAGTGTTTTATCGTTAGTATTCTTGTGTTGTTTCTGGAGTTTGCTAAAAAAAGGACCATCTGCAAAATGTTTTCAATGGTACAGCATTTAAAATGTATCAACAGTTTTTCACGGCATATTAAAGATTTAAGAAGATAATACAGTAATAATATCCTAAGAAAAAAAATGCGAAATATCGTTTGGCATAAGTGATCAGGAACGCGTTATTTATAACAACATGAAATAGTGTACTGTGAACGTTGAACGCAGTGATTACTGACATTGTTTTAAACAAGTGAAAAACATTAAAAAATAAAAATTCATACATTGAGAATAATATTCTGTTACATGCAAAATACTTAATGAACACGCATAACACATTTTTACAGATATTGCCGATACGAGAAGACATATATATGTGCATATTAAAAAGATAAACGCCACGAGTTTGAAGAAATCTTATTAGGAATATAATATGTATTTCTGTAACAAATTTTTGTACATTACCTTATAATACAGAGTTTATAAATAAGAAGAAACAGAATATATCATTGTACAAATGATATCCATCTTCGTCAAAATAATAGTAAAGTAATTTACATGTAACGTATGACGAATTTAAAAATAACATGAAACACTTTTTAAATCTATTTTTATTTATTAAACGATATACAATTGAAATTAACATATTCAGCAGTGACTTTATATACATATAAATATTTACTACATTAAGAAATCATATTAGTTCAAGTAAAAGTTAATACATTAAAAAGGATACAATATAAGTGTTTCATATTATTAAATAATAAGAATATTCTGCCGTTAACTTTACAGTTTTCGCTATAAAATCACAGCATTCAATTAACGCCATACCTATGTAACTACTTTCTTTATATATTTTGAATAAATTGTAGTTTGTCAAGAGTACAATTTTATATAAATACATGTATCTTATATATCTTTATATACAAATTAAAAGTTAATGTGATACAAAACTTATTTTGCCTAACTGTGAGTTTGCTTTGTATGTATCATATAATGTTGAAATTAGTTATAAACTATACTATTTAAAATTATAAAATAAACTTTTCAATTTATATATTAATCTTGCCATTTTTATGAATGAATATGTTATGAAAATAATTGAAGTCCTTTTAAATAAAAGTAACAGTATTGAATAATATAACATTTTATAAAACTATAATCTATAAATAATCTTGAAAAGTTTAATAAATATGATTTCTATCTGCTTTATAGTTACATGTATTATATTCCTTTCCAGTGACTCTGTATTACAAGGTTATTTTACAAACGGTTGTTAAAGAAATAATTTATAATTCGTGTAAATGCTGTGCAAAATAAAATTTTTAGAAAAATAATACAATGGACTTGAAATTGTTGTAATTATACATTAGATTAGGTACACAATTTCTTACTATAACTTGTAGTGTAATCTAAAGACTAAAACAAGAGACTTGTAAAAAAAAAAGGTCCAGTACTTTTTTGTGAATATAAATATCTAATTGTATTTCATAAAATGTGTAATAAATTGCATTATTACAAAAAAGGAATTAGAATATTGCGTAAAGTAGGGAATCGATTGTTATAAAAAAAAAACGTATAATATATATGTATTATTAATACTATTAATAAGATTTGGATTATCCAGTGACTTGTTCAGTCGTTTTATGTCGATATAATTATAAAATAGTTTATTAACGAAATTTTGTATAAACACAAGGAAAAATGTTGTTGATAAACCATTAGCTAATTTTAATGAGCATCCTGATGGAGAGTTTTAACATAAAAATAAAATCATTATAAACGCAGTACATGGTAAGATCATAGCAAAATCATTTTAAAATAAATACGAACAAGAAAAAGTAGTAGTACTGCCACATTACACTTTTTCAACATTATTTCATTTCGTACAGCAATAAAATAATAAAGAGCTTATTTTGACAATTGAAATGCAATAAGAAAAGCTTTTAAACAATAAAACTACATTACAATAATTAATTTCTTTATAAACTACCTTATACTGCGTTTTGTTTTTATTGCATTAAAAAACTTATTTTTATCTAATCATTTTTAAATTTATCAAGATTGTAAATAGGGTAAGGTTCTATAGTTGGAATAAAATAAAACGAAAAGTTCAAATTATCTTTTGTTCACGATGTATTAATTAAAATTATTTACATTTTATTTACAATATTACGTATCAATATTCGTTTTTATAAAATTTTTGTTCATTATAAAAAAATTTTATAAATATCTTATTTTTTTAGGTGTTTACTATGTCAATTATTGTTACTGAATAGATAATATTATCCTCTAATTTTTTGTACGTGTTCAGTTTTCATATCAATTTCGTTAAGTAAAGACTTTGCGAAATTATTAGCACTAGCTTCTTGATTTAAGAAGTCGGATACTAGTTTGGAAGGTGGTTTACCACCACCATGTGCTAAACACTCTTTTCGATACCGATCGCCAGCTGTTCGATTAAGGGGATCTGTTTGGAAATAAGTTTGCCATATCCAAGAAGCAATTGCTCGAGAAATTAAATAAGAATAATACTTTGCACCGTAACCGACTAGGTGAGAAAATCTTAACTGCCATGCCTGTGAATAATGTTTAAATTTACAGCTTACAAAATCCGTAGTTTTACAATGTTAAAACCAAGAAAAATTACATACCGTATTTTCAACATAAGGAAGTTCATAGTATTTTTCTTGTACTTCTCTTAAAACATCAGTTGTTGATTTTTCCAATTTTTTACTATGATAAACTTGATCCAATTTACTATAACATATCTGATTTTGTAACTCAGAAGCACAAAATATATTTTTTGAGGTATACAATTTTTCTAATAACATTGGTGGTATGGGTTCCAGAGTTTCAAAGTGTTTTGCAAATGTAGATACAACCTAATAATACATATTGAATTATTAAAAAAACAAATAAATCATTTAATAATTGTTTAAAATACATTAACTCACTCTTGGATCACTTGCAAAATATTCCATCAATATACTTGGAACTTCTGCAAAATCCGTACTACATCTAGTTCCAGTTACATGTTGATATTTTGTTCTACCTAACATAGAATGTAATGCGTGACCCATTTCATGGAATAAATTTTCTACAGAAGCAGGGCTCAATAAGCATGGCTTATTCCATGTTGGAAGCGGTAAAGATAACATCAATACTACTATTGGATTCTAAAAAAGATTTTCATAAAAATATGAAAATTTCATTACATTAATATATGTAATATTTCTTGTTTATTTAAATCATACTTGGTAAGATCCATCTGGTAATTCTCTTCCACCTCTAATAGTAAAATGACAATCTTGATTAGGTTTCCCTTCTCTTTCAAAGAAATCACAATATATGTAACCCAAAACTGTTTCATTTTCGTCTATCACTGCAATTTTGTGTATATTATTTGCCCAAACTTCACCAGGTAAAACTGGCACAGATTCTAATTTAACACCGTACAATGCTTGGGTCAAATTGTTAATACCATCCATACAAGAACCAAGTGAAAAGTATGGTGTAAATTCATTAAGGGATGTATTCAACCAAGTTTTTTTTGCTTTTAGCGTAAAGTAAGTAGTGTCCCATAGCATTATATTCTAAATAAAGAAAGCATAAAATTAACGTAAATTTTTTTCAGAATGTATCAAATACAGCTTAGCGAATTCAATATACCTGTTTTGTAAGTGAGTCAGAATCTTTCATCTTCTGCATCTCTTTAAAATCCTGCTGTGCTTTGGATTTTATATTCTCATTCAAAATGTCAAGAAACTCATGTACTACTTCAGGTGTTTCTACTGTACTTCCTTTTACTGCTCTGCAAATTATCGACTTTTCAACACATACATATACAGAGCACATATTCTTTGCATTCATTAATTTTGATAATTTAAAATGTACCGATGAGCGTACGATGGAAATCCGCATAGTTTAGCCAAATTATATCTTGAATTTAACAATTCTTGCAGCAGATATTCTTGTTCTTCATCTGGATATAAAAATACGCGGTATGCTGCTTCTCTAACCAGATAATTAGAAGAATCTACATAAAGTCCTTGTACTATTACTTTATTATCTTTTACTGTAAAACTGTGAAATATGTTTAACATTCTGTGCCTTAGATATATTTTTCTATACCATAGAAAACACCTTAAAAATCATTTTATTATTAGTACTTACTACTGTCTTATACTTGCTGGAAGAATGTTAACATCTACAGCTCTTGCATTACCAGTACCTGCCATGAATTTTTGGCCAACCTGTATTTCAAAAAAGAATATATATATGTAAATATTTGATTACTACATAATTCATATATAAATAAGATACATACTTGTAATATGTAATAATTTAATTGTACAACATGTTCCCTTATAGATTCTGGCAAATGTATAGCACATTGTTCAAAATCATGCAAGAACAATTTTGCAACATGATCATCAACAGTAGATGTTTTCTGAATATCTCCATTATCTACTACATGCTTCAATGCATCATATATTTCACGATGAGTATTCAACCTAAAAAAATTTACAAATAATTTTATATATTTCTTAATATAAAAATATGTGTTAACTTTAGAATCTTTCATAGTTTAAAAGAAATTTACTTTTCCACCATATCACTGACAGATAAGCAAGTAGACTCTGCAGCTTCAACATATTGTTTATCCGGATGTGCAATTCTGATAAACTCTGCTAAATCTGCAACTTTACATAAAGTATCAGACATATCATCAAAAATTTCTACCATCTTATGTGTCCTATTTGGATTAATAGATTCTGTTATAAGCATATTTGTCTGGGATATTGCATTATCCTTCAAAATGTGAAATCCTTCTGGAGTTTTTAACTCAGGTATACCAAACAATCCCTAAATATAAAAATTTTATAATTCAATACATTGCATAAGATATCTTGATGATGAATGCAACTTACAGTTTCTTTTTTCAGATGATGTTTAAACTTTTCTTTAGTAATAGTATTAAATGCTGTTGCCAGAGCTGACCATGTATTAACATTTCTATGTTTTTTAAAATGCTTTGGAATATGTTTTTTCAATATTTGTATCATTTTTTATACTATATTAAATGGCTTATGATGTCAGTAAATACAGCATTCATTGAAAAATAAAAATAAAAATGGGATGTTTCAGAGGTTACATGTATAACATGCATTGACCGGTACTGACAGTCTCAAGATTTGTGATTCTATTTTTGACTGAACGATGGCATTGCTGTGATTTTGACTGCATTCTGCAGTTATGGATAGGGTATAAGTACTACTCTTCAAGTACAAAATTGGAAGTATAAATTGAAAAGAATCACGAATTGTATCTTCATAATGGAGAGACTTGATGCATAAGGAATTTTACTCGCTTATTAAAGTTTGAAATTGATTAAAACATAAATTATGATACGTCTCTAAAAATTATTTATTATAAGGATTGGTGGAATCTTAAATTCCGAGGTTACTTAAATACAAATGGTAAGGGTATAATCTTGTTAATTTTATGCGTTTGTATCGTTTGTTAATTGAATAAGAGGACTGTAATGCAATTCTATGCTGTGACAATATGTTGAAGTGGAAGGGGTATGATTATCTATACAAGGATATGTTCCATACCATCACCCACACATTACTTGTCAACTCTTTGTTTTTGTCGCAATAATTTCTGCAATTAAGTGAGAAGTAAGAAATATCTTTACTAATATTATTAATATATGTATAATAGAATTCTGTATTTAGTTTAAATTATAGTGTATTATTTGATCTTACACATACACATTTACAATTAATCTTGTTTTGATTTATTGCAGTCTGACTCTGTGATAAGTGGAAATTTATTTACTGCTGCTAAACAGTTAGCAGACAGTGAGATCCAATTGATAAAAGCTATAGAAAATTCTAAGAAGATAAATAATAAAAGTATTACAAGTAATATGTCTGTGACACATAAAAAGGGTGCCAAAAAATCAATCAAAGTTTCAAATGTAAATGTCAATTTTAGAATATATTATAAATATAGTAATAATATTATAAATTAATGTATCATATTTTTTATTAGGTTCGTCCATCAGCTGCTTTGGTAGCAGCTAAACGTGAAGTAGCACAGAGGCATACATTGCAGGGGAAAAAATCTACTAATGTTTTTGTACATGATGTATATCAAAAGGCTATAGATTCATATAATATTAAACGAAAAGAAACTGGTCTTGTGTTTGATCAGTCTATGACTGAACACGAGTGTCTTTGGGATTCAAATTATCCAGAATGTCCAGCTAGATTAACAAGGGTTTTACAGAGATGCGAACAGTTGGGTTTAATAAACAGGTGTAAGTTAATTGAATCAAGACTTGCTACTGAGAAGGAAATACTTCTGAAGCACAGCCAGAAACAAATAGACATTCTGAAATCCACTGATGAATGTACAGATGCTGATAATTTAGAGTTACTATCATCCAAATATGATGCAATTTATGTACATCCTGTATGTGAATATTTATTTCTAAATATAAAATGTTCCTAAATTTTAATATTAAATTATTTGTAATTGCTTTAGTCTACCTACAGATTATCCCAGATAGCTGTGGGTTCAACAATAAACTTAGTGGAAAGTATTTGTAAAGGATATGTTCAGAATGGAATGGCTGTTATAAGGTAACTTCATTTGCTTGTCATATTATTGACAGTAATTATTGATAGTTATTTTAATTTTTTTTTTTTTCAGACCACCTGGGCATCATGCAATGAAATCAGAATATTGTGGATATTGTTTTTTCAATAATGTTGCAATTGCTGCTGAGAATGCTTTGAGAAATGATTTAGCTAACAAAATTTTAATCGTTGATTGGGATGTACATCATGGACAAGCAACTCAACAAATGTTTTATGATGATCCACGGTACATTATTATATTTGTAACTTATTTTGAAAATGAATTGTTTTTCATATATACGTGTTTTGCAGAGTAATTTATTTTTCCATTCATCGTTACGAGAACGGTGAATTTTGGCCGAATCTTAGAGAGTCTGATTTCCATTTTGTTGGAGATGGCTTAGGAGAAGGATACAACTTCAATATACCACTTAATAAAACTGGTATGACCAATGCTGATTATTTAGCTATATTTCAACAAGTTTTATTGCCAGTAGCCTATGAGGTAAATAGTATATTGTAAATATTGTACTATTATTTATAGAACGAATTTAAAACTATTTACTTAGAAATCATAACATTTAATTATTGTAGTTTCAACCAGATCTCATATTAGTGTCAGCTGGTTATGATGCAGCTTTGGGCTGTCCAGAGGTAAAATAACAAGTATTATTTATTAATATTTTCTTTTTACTTTAGTTTAATCCAGATCTTGTCATTGTATCGGCTGGATTTGATTCCGCAACCGGCGATGAAAAGGTTGATATTTTTTTTTGTTTACAATAAGTTTCTAAAGGATTATTGTTTATTTCTTTTGCTTTCATATAATTTTTAAGTTTTGTATGGTAGCTGTAACTATTCTGCTTTTTCTTTTTGTGATATCAAGGGTGAAATGTTGGTGACCCCTGCATGTTATGCGCATCTTTTGTCATCTTTATTGTGTCTGGCCTCTGGAAAAGTTGCTGTTATATTAGAGGTATAAAAAATACTTTAAATCTTTTATTATTAAGTATATTATTTTTATTGCATTTTTTGTCTTAATAGGGTGGTTATTGCTTAAAATCATTAGCTGAAAGTGCGGCATTAACATTACGTACTTTATTAGGTGATCCATGCCCTATGTTACAAAATCTTGAACTACCTTCAATAGGGTAAGGTTTAGAATATATAATATTTAACTTCATATAAATCTAAGTTTAATATTATTTTAGTATACGTGATACAATTTTAAATGTAATTTATGCACATAAACCATACTGGAAGTGTTATCAATACCAAGATTCATACAGTATTAATAGTACAATAAATAATAAGGAAGAAAACGTTAATCAGCATTTACCTGTAGTTATATTCAGGTAAGAGATGTGGTCAGTTTTTATAGAGATTTTATTATCATGTTTATATCATTTATTTATTACAGGGGAAGTAGTGTTAAACCGGAAATATATGAAACAAGAAATTGTTATCCAGTTCAAAGCAAAGAAACTATTGAAGCAATAGAAAAACAATTGAATACATTAATACAATGTAAGTTTCGAATAGATCATATTATTTGCTGTTGAAAAATACTATGTAAATGTAATTTTCTTTTTAGCCACCAATTTATCTAAAGCACCAAATAAAGTATGTGTCGTTTATGATGAGAGAATGTTAAAACATCATGATATATCTGATGATAGCCATCCAGAAAAACCAAACCGTATTAGTGTAATATACAAAAAATTTCAAAAATATAATTTACTTGAACGATGTTATGTACAGCAGGTATATCAATATATTATGAAAACATATGGGTTTCTAATCTCCATTTAAAATATTACGTTTTATTCGTAAGGGACGAAGTGCAACAATAGAAGAATTATTATTGATTCATTCACAAGAGTACATAGATAAAATAAAGAATACAGATAATTTAAAAACAAAGGAATTATATAAACAAGCAACAAGCTACAATTCGGTTTATCTGCATCCTGACACTTGGACAAGTGCCTGTGTATCTACTGGATCGTTATTACAAGTAGTGGATAGTGTATTAAATGGAGAGAGTCAATCTGGTGTTGCTATTGTAAGGCCTCCAGGGCATCATGCGGAACAAGATGCAGCATGTGGTTTCTGCATCTTCAACAATATTTCTGTAGCTGCTAAATATGCCATAGAATTTCATCATGTAAAAAGGTATGAATTTTGTTTATTTGCTTTTCATTATATTTGTTTTAAGCTGATGAAATATCATAATTTTCAGGGTACTAATAGTGGATTGGGATGTACACCATGGTAATGGAACTCAATCAGTATTTGAGGAAGATCCAAAAGTTCTTTATATATCTGTCCATCGTTATGACAATGGCGGTTTCTTTCCGAATTCTAAGCGAGGTAATTACACCCACGTTGGTTCTGGACCAGGAGAAGGGTTTAATGTTAACATACCGTGGAACAAGGTTAGTTATAAAAGAATATAATTAATATTATTAAAATAAGATTGCTAATAGATTTATTTATTTGTAGAAAGGAATGGGTGACGCGGAGTATATAGCAGCATTCCAACAAGCAGTAATGCCAATTGCATATCAATTTAATCCAGAATTGATCTTAGTCTCAGCTGGTTTTGATGCATGCATCGGTGATCCTCTTGGAGGTACGTCAATTTATTTTTTATTTTTTAACGTGAAAATGTATTGAAATTCTATTTTTATGTTTAAGGTTGTTTTGTAACACCAGAGATGTATGGACATTTAACACACTGGTTATCTTCTTTGGCTAATGGCCGCATTATTCTTAGTCTCGAGGGGGGTTACAACATTAATTCAATCGCGCATGCAATGACTATATGCACGAAAACATTGCTCGATGATCCTTTACCGATGTTAGAAAGTAACCAAATTCCATGTACAAGCGCTATTAATACTATAAATAATGTTCTAAAAACGCAGAAACAATATTGGCTAAATTTGATGTTTAATCTATCTTTACCGAAAGAGAAAGTACTTCCTCAGGCTGAAATACCTGGTATAAAAACAAACGGCGAAGAAACTAAACACTCAGAATCTAAGATAGCGCTGGAGGAAATTGAAAGTGAAAAATTAGAACTGAAACTTTCAATTGATAAAAATTGTGTGACAGATGAAGAGATATTAAAATTACAAAATGAAGTAGAGAATATTAAAATAAGAAATTCGTTATATGACGATACTTCGAAAAAGACGGAAAAAATACATAATAATTCGATAAATATGCAAGCTATTAATAACGTTAAAGGTATGGATAGACTAGAAGTACGCGTACATGAAATTTATATAAGAAGAATTATTATTATTTTCTAGTGTCTGAATGTACAAAGAAATGTATAAATCAGGATGGAAAGAAAGGATTGCCTCCGCAAAACTTTCCCAATTCCGCTTCCGGCAGTGATAATGAACAGGGTGACAGAGCAGCTGCACAATCAAGTACCAATATAAATTTATACGATTATCTATCTGAAAATTTGCAAGTAAGTATTTATATTAAAAAATATAAATAAATTTTCATATAATTATACCCTTTTTTATTTATTAAGGCATTAGTAGCCGGCGAAATGTTTGCAGTAGTACCTTTACGAGAATGTCCACATCTAAACAGTGTTAGCGATGTTCCAGCTTCAGGGATTGATGTACATTTACCATGTGCAGAATGTGGTAGTAATGTTGAAAATTGGATTTGTCTACAATGTTATACTGTACATTGTGCTCGCAACATTAATCAACACGGTATATTACATGCTGAAGAGATGGAACATCCTTTGGCTTTGAGTTTTAGCGATTTATCGGTTTGGTGTTACCGATGTGAGGCATATATAGATAACCCAGTAAGTTTGTATACAATCATTACTTAATTTTTGTAATATAACTTTTATTTTTTTATATAATGTTTTCTAGCGATTATTTGCGGCACGTAACGCTGCACATCAGAGTAAATTTAATGAAGAATTACCGTGGACATACAGCGAGAACTGAGGTGTAGATTTATTACTAAACTTGTCATTAACCTTTTATGTATTTTATAATATTTGTAAATGACTTATAAAACAGCACTATTATTTCCATATTTGTTATTTACTAAATGTTTAGGTAAACGATTACTGATAACTGACAACCGCATGTACAATTTTCTTAATATTCAGATAATCAAATTAATTGTAAATTAATTTTAAGCATACACAATATTTTTATTTATTAACAATATATTTTATTAAATTGAAAGGGGGTTGTGAAAATGTAACATCTATTTTATGCTTGTAAATTTTTTTATTCTTTTTATTTTGTTGGTGTAACAAATTTAACACTATTTCTTTTATGATGTTCGTATATTTTTATGCTTATTAGGTATTAAATATTCAATTCGTATCAATAACAACTGAAATTGTTGAAAAGCATCAAGTATTTCATTTATTGTTTCTCTAAACGGTTGCAGTGAAATTATGTTTATATTTGATAAACGTACAAAACTATTAATAATCTTTGAAAATGGTAATTTTTCAACAGTAACATGCGGATAAAATTTACTTACAATATGATAGTTAAATAAATTTGTATTATTCTGAATAAACATGAATTCTTCTAAATCTGTAGCAGGGAGAGCATAATATAATCTATATGGTACATTGTTGGTAACATAGTTATGATCACATTCGTTAAGTTTTAAAGCAATGCTGTTACATATATTTCTTATAGATTTTGAACCATGTTCATAAAGATGAAAATCGTTAACTAATTTATATTTATGATTGCCACTACTTACATAAGTTTTCTTAGTATTTCTCAAATGTAAAAGTGCTGTTGGTATAGAATAAGTATGGGATGTAAATAAATGTATGTGGGTAAGATCTGGTTTTGCTTTTAATTCGGTTGCTATGTGAGATGTTAAAGGCAGAACTCCACCTTGATGAGCAAAACCATAAAAAAATGTTAACAAAACGTTACATATGAACCAAAATATTTGTAGTTTACTAAGCTTATTTTTTGGCGCAAAAGCAGTTTGATACACGTTGTTTTCTGCAATTCGTGAAATGGTATCAACTCCTGATGTTTGGCTAATATTTGGTGCATACAAGAAAACTAGGGGTAGTAATGTCGGTATTATAAATCGTGGTTCTTGATGAGGGAAAATTGATAACAACATGATGGGTATGATAAAAGATGTTGTCATTAAACCAACAACACTTTGTATACGCGGTAAATCCAACCATTTGGCTTTCAAACCACTGTAAATAGCAATTATAATTTCCTAGTTATTTCGTTTGAATTTTTGGAAAAGAAAATGTAAATAAGATCAATAAAATATTTACCTGCGTAACATTTTTCCAAATGTAAGGAGACCAACAATTCCTAGTATATTGTATAAAAGAGGTACATTCACAAGTAAATGTATATAATGTGGATGTAAACCATGATTCTGTAGATTTTTAGTATTTGCATTGTATTTGAGAAAATTAAGTGGAGTTACTACAAAATTGTTCATGCCAATATCAAGATTACCTATTTCTGCCATTGTTAAGTAACCAAAATAAAAGCTATCAACTATGATAAAAAAAATAGTGGTAGGTATTCCACAAGCAATGAAGGTAAATATTCGAATATGAAAATCTCCAAAGCCTACACTTTTTGAACCTAAGCCTCTTTGTAGCCAAAAAAAAATTGGAGGAAATGCAAATGCAATAAATGTTGGTCTATTAAATATGCCAATCACAGTCACTGTTGCAATTTCTAAACAATTATTTAAAGAATGTGAGGGCAATGAAGCTTTAAGTTTATAGTATTTTACTCTGTCTACTCCAGTTTTTGCTTTGTTATATTTATCTGTTAGGTAATCACTTTGTATAACTACCTGAAATGATAAAATAATGCTTTATTATGAATTCATTTACACTGTATTGTTATTATGATAGCATACCTTTTCTGAATATGCCATACAATGTGATGTGTAATATAATAATAAAGCTGTAAGAACTAATTCAACACTATTTGATAATGTGTGTGTTGCATAAACAAGCATAACATAGGAACTGGCATAAGTGATTAGTCTTATTTTGTAATTTTGTCCAAACATGTAACATATTTTATACAGACAGTAGTCTGATATAAAAGACAGACCACACATTAATAACCGTGGAAATGATACAAGAAAATATGGAGATTTTAATGAGATACCTAAGTAAAAAAGTGTATATTGTGAAAGTTTATTTAATATTGAACATGGTATACCAACAATGATCTGTGGTATTAAAACAGTTCTTATGGGAAATGTAGAATTGAATTCCCATGGTTTATTAACATCTATATCAAAGTGGTCTCCTATAAGATTAGAATCAGTATAATTTGATATTATTTATACAACATTTTAATCATTATTAACAACTTACCAGATATAACTTCAATAGACTGAAAATACTCATCAGGATGAATATATCCTGTTTGTGGAATAAGTGTTAAGATAATTCTCAAAGCAGCCAAGACCCAATAAACACCAATTTTTCTTTTAATTGGTACTGCAGGTCTGTATTCGTCTATCGATCGTCGATATTCATTCCTCGAATGCATTTTTATGTATATATAAATTGTATATAATGACAGCTATACAATTGTTTAGATGTCAATTTAAAGAGATTAAAAGTATTAACTTGAAACTTCTGTCCATGTATATAGTTATTCATTTCTTCACATTCCCAATTAAAATGCTGCACCTATTCAATGTGTACAGTGACAAGAAAGAACATAACATTATCATGAATTAATTAATTTAATTAATTATAAACATTATCATATATTCCATACATTTATATAAATGCATGTTTTCAAAATAACACTACTAGCGTCATCTTTAATGGTATGGGGTCATTTTCGCCTAATTCGTTTAAGGGGTCCTAGACACCCCAGGAGATATTAGGTCGGTATGCAGAGTACGCTGCGGGGTCCTCAATACCCCAAATGATATTAGGTCGGTATGCAGAGTGCGCCGCGGGGTCCTCAATACCCCAAATGATATTAGGTCGGTATGCAGAGTACGCCGACTGCGCAACGGGGTCCTCAATACCCCAAATGATATTAGGTCGGCATGCAGAGTACGCAACGGGGTCCTCAACACCCCAGAAGATGTTAGGTCGGTACGCAAAGTACGCCAACTGCGCGACGGGGTCCTCAACGCCCCAAATGATATTAGGTCGGTATGTAGAATGCTCCAACTGCACAGCGGGGTCCTCAGCACCCCAGGACGATGTCAGGCCGGTATGCAAAGTACGCTAACGGCGCAACGGGGTCCTCAATACCCCAAATGATATTAGGTCGGTATGCAGAGTACGCCGGCTGCGCGACGGGGTCCTCAACGCCCCAAATGATATTAGGTCGGTATGTAGAATGCTCCAACTGCACAACGGGGTCCTCAATACCCCAAATAATATTAGGTCGGTATGCAGAGTACGCCAACTGCGCAACGGGGTCCTCAACGCCCCAAATGATATCAGGTCGGTATGTAGAATGCTCCAACTACACAACGGGGTCCTCAATACCCCAAATGATATCAGGTCGGAATGCAGAGTACGCCAACTGCACAACGGGGTCCTCAACGCCCCAAATGATATTAGGTCGGTATGCAGAGTACGCCAACTGCGCAACGGGGTCCTCAACGCCCCAAATGATATCAGGTCGGTATGTAGAATGCTCCAACTACACAACGGGGTCCTCAATACCCCAAATGATATCAGGTCGGAATGCAGAGTACGCCAACTGCGCAACGGGGTCCTCAACGCCCCAAATGATATTAGGTCGGTATGTAGAATGCTCCAACTGCACAACGGGGTACTCAGCACTCCAGGATGATGTCAGACCGGTATACAAAGTACGCCAACGGCGCAACGGGGTCCTCAATACCCCAGATGATATTAGGTCAGTATAAAGAGTATTGCGCCAATTGCACAACGGGGTCCTCAGCACCCCAGGATGCTATCAGGCCGGTATGTAGAGAGCGCTAACTGCGTAATGGGGTCCCGAACACCCCAGATGATATCAGGGCCGTATGTAGAGGGCACAACCTATAATTTCTTTCCGGAGTTTATTTAATTTACTTTATTTATTTTGTTTGCTTATTAAATAAGCTCATTGAAGGGGAATTACATTTATGATTGTATCCCTCTACTGGGCCTCGGCCAACGACCATTTTTATGTCACTTTTTCCATTTATTTATTTAATTCTATCCCTCTTTTTAGACCAAAGCCCACCCTTTTCAGTTATTATCATTCTTTATGGGCCGAGACTCACGCTTCCTAATTATTTATTATCCTACTCCTGTTCATAAACAAAGGCAGATATTTATTTCTTCATTTTTTTTATTTTCCCTGTTTCCCTGTATCTTTATAGAACTGCATCCCTCACATCACTGCCTTCCCTACATCTCCGTATTCTTTACATCCCTGATTTCTTTATATCCCTGCATCCTTTACATCCCTGTATCCCTTAGTCCTCTGCATCCCTTACATCCCTGCATCTCTTGTATCCTTTCAACCCTTATAATAAATATATTATAAATAAAATACTTATGGCCACCGGTTCGAGTAAAGGTAAGTAAAGCGAAGTAAAGGTAAGTAAAGGTAAGTAGAGGTAAGTAAAGTCTTGAGAAAAATAATTTTAAATTTAAATTTTTGCAAAATTTAGTTCCTTTTTCTGCCACCAGACGGCGCTGATTCGACATTGAAATTTTAGTTCACATTTTTCCCGCTAGAGGGCCAAAATCCCGACAAGCTTTAGTTCCTTTTTCTGAAACCAGATGGCGCTGATTCGACATCGAAATTTTAGTTCACATTTTTCCCGCTAGAGGGCCAAAATTCCGACAAGGTTTAGTTCCTTTTTCTGAAACCAGATGGCGCTGATTCGACATCGAAATTTTAGTTCGCATTTTTCCCGCTAGAGGGCCAAAATTCCGGCAAGCTTTAGTTCCTTTTTCTGAAACCAGATGGCGCTGATTCGACATCGAAATTTTAGTTCACATTTTTCCCGCTAGAGGGCCAAAATTCCGGCAAGCTTTAGTTCCTTTTTCTGAAACCAGATGGCGCTGATTCGACATCGAAATTTTAGTTCAAATTTTTCCCGCTAGAGGGCCAAAATTTGGGCAAGCTTTAGTTCCTTTTTCTGAAACCAGATGGCGCTGATTCAACGTCGAAATTTTAGTTCAAATTTTTCCCGCTAGGGGGCCAAAATTTCGGCAAGCTTTAGTCTCTTTGCAAAGAGATGCAAGGATGTAAGGGATGCAGGGATATAAGAGATGCAGGGATGTAAGGAATGCAGGGATGTAAGGGATGCAGGGATGTAAGGAAAGCAGGGATGTAAGGAATGCAGGGATATAAGGGATGCAGGGATGTAAGGAATGCAGAGATGTAAGGAATGCAGGAATGTAAGGAAAGCAGGGATGTAAGGAATGCAGGGATGTAAGGGATGCAGGGATGTATGTAATGCAGGGATGTAAAGAAAGTAGGGATGTGAGGAATGGAGAGATGCAGAGATATAAAGGATGCAGGGATGTAAATAAAGTAGGGATGTGAGGAATGTAGGGATGTAAAGAAATTAGGGATGTGAGGAAAGTAGAGATGTAAGGGATGCAGGAATGTAAGGGATGCAGAAATATAAAGGATGCAGGGATGTAAATAAAGTAGGGATGTGAGGAATGTAGGGATGTAAAGAAATTAGGGATGTGAGGAATGCAGAGATGTAAGGGATGCAGGAACGTAAGGGTTGCACACAGGTGTAATAAAATCAACACGTTCTTCCTCAGCATGAGTTTATTCAATAAGCTAAGAAGATAAATACAGCAAATTAAATGAACGCAGAAAATAAAATAAGGGTTGTAGATACATATATGTGTGTTTAGCAGGTAGATCTGCACGCCTCGGCGGTCGCTATAAGACTGATTCCTACTGACGGCTGTACTGTGTATGTATGTACATATTTGTAACTTAACTAACGTGGGGGTGCTTGGAACCCCCGAAATCATGACCTCTCGAGAACAAGGATATGCTCTATCTTCTTGTAATTGTAGTCACTATCTATAGTCACTGACTGCAGTAAGCTAATGAAACTATTGACGGATTTGTAACATTTATAATATTTACATAAAATGATTTTTCTAAAGGAAAATTACAGTGTTCTCTTAATTTTAGATAGTGAAATTTCAAGTAATGACATTACAGATTTTATTGGTACAATAAAGAAACACCTTAAGAATGCAGAACAGCTGACAATTGCATCACCGAAAGAGCTAGAAAAATGTAAGTGCGTAAAAATTTACGTATTTGAATACGTGAGCCTTAGTGATCTAATTCTAGAAAATATCATTTTAAAATATATTCCTCATGTTATTTCAGCTATTAGCAAAGCAACTTCCTACGATACGATTATTTCAATCTTTAAACTATCATGCCCGAATTACAAATCAGTTTTTGAAGAATGTTTAAGAATATTAAAACCAGGAGGCATATTAATTAATTATGAATCATTTGAACAAACAGAAAATATGCTTGCTGTTTATGAAGGAAGAGTGTCAAGTTTGAAATTGACTGGTTTTAAAGTTAAAGCACAGAAAGAGTTAGATACACAACAATTGAAAACTCATTTACACAGTGTATACAATGCCATGGATAAAGTTTGTGAATTAGTAGCAGAGAAACCATCATTTGAGGTATGTTCATGGCTTTTATATATTTAGATATGAAAATTACAATTTGATGTATATTTTAATCTTCTATATAGATTGGTTCTAGTGTAACACTTAATTTTGGAAAAGAAAAGTTATCCAATGTATGGAAATTAGATGATGTTGTTGATGAAGAATTAATTAATGAAGATGAGCTGTTAGATGAAAGTGATATAAAAGTTAACACATTTAGCTTAAGGGGTAAATTTCATATATAATATACATTTTTCAAATATAATAGTAACACATTTTGCAATCTAATTTTAGTATGCAGTACAACGGGTAAAAGAAAAGCATGTAAAGATTGCACTTGTGGATTAGCTGAGGAATTAAGTGGTAAAACTGTTCAAAAAGATACTGTAAAATCTTCATGTGGAAATGTAAGTAATATAACATTTAAAGTTTCTTTTTTACATTGTCTTTGAAATACTCAAAGAAAAGTATTTTTCAGTGCTATCTTGGTGATGCATTTCGATGTGCCAGTTGTCCATACCTTGGTATGCCTGCATTTAAGCCTGGTGAAAAAGTAGTTTTAGCTGAAACTCAATTGAAAGCAGACTAAAGAAATTTGTATTATTCCTCTATTCTCATGTTCACTTTTATTATAGTTGGCAAATTGATTTATTTATCTTAAAAAGTAATACAAATTATTTAAAATTAGTAATAAATTCATGAAAATATATCGCTATTTAAGTTATTTTATTTCATTCTATTTGCATATAGCAGTAATCAACATGTTAATCATAATAGAATGATAGAAAATATTTACGTTTCTAGTATTTTTGGTATGTATCAATGTTAACAAAACAAATAATTTAAGTACTGCATAATTATTATACAGAGGCCCAAAATATTCAATATCTTTTATACACCAATCATTTTATTGTTTCAACAATGCTTTTACCGCAATACAGTTGTCACTGTAGTAAGTACAAAGCTAATAAAGAATAAAAGTTGGAAATAGTAATTTGGAAACTACTTAGTAATATTTTATTATACGGGAATACAAGCCTTTCACTATAAATTCACTATCCCATCTCTGGGGATCAGTGTCCGCAAAAGGACTATATTCCAAATATACATATGTATATATATATATTATATCACTCATATCATTCTATTTTAACATATTTTGTAGTTTAACAAATGATACATTTCGTATAAAATAGTATACTAAATTCTAAGAGAAAAGAATCGCGATGCCGCATAGATCGATAATTTTTAAATTATTTTCATTATATTCAGAAACAAAATAAATCGTCATGTATCTAATTTGCTTTCTAAGGCAACAGGAACGTTACTCCGCAGCGTAAAAAATAAAAGTACATTATCAATAACAAAAAATAAAAAGTATCGTTTCAATTATTAACTCATTTTTTATGAAACAAGAAATTATTTGTACCATGATAAAAATGGTATATAATTTGCATCAATACTTAGCTCTGACAGTCATAACAGCTGCATATATCACTCTTTCGCACCACAATTGCTACACAGTTAAAATTACTTTCTTATTTATTTTATTTAACTATATTTCATTTGGGTGCGATAAAGGCGTTTCAGTTTTACTCCTATTGTTGTTACTTGTTATGTGACTATCCCTATTAATGGTAGATGTATTAAATCTCATATAACTTTGAAATAATAATTTTTTTTACAAATTATATTATTATAGCTAGGATTGATATTACATATGACTTTGGTAGAAATTTAAGTTTACATTTTAAGTAACAATATGGTGTAAAAATGAACTATTTTTTATCAGTATATAATCATAAAGTTTAAATATAAAGAGAGCAATAGAAAGTACAAGATACAATAATTATTGAATGCTGTAAAACATAAAGTATGACAATTTTAATGCTATGTCATTTTTATCTCTTAAGTATATAATCTTTTGTACTGTATCACAAAAATTAAGAAATTACCAAGCATTTTCCAGTTTGGAATAAATTTTTCAGTATATATTGTTGTACTTTCTATAGATGTAAACTTACACTTTATGGTAATGTATTATGATTTCACTTATAATGAATTCGTAAGGATTTATAGATTCGTATTTGTGTGCATGGTCACACAAAGATATAAAATAGCGTGATATAATTTTTGTACAAACAGTTACAAGTAGTTGATAAATGAAATTACATATACCAATTCAAATTCGAGGTCAGGTTTTTAAATTTGTCTAAATTGCCAAATAGTTCTTGAACTAAATATTTAAATGATTTTTTTTGTTTTTTTTAATAAAATAACGTGTAAATACATAAAATGTTTTGTAGTATAAAGTTCGTTCTTTGATGCATAAGTACATGTAATAAACACAAATGCGTTTGATGAACTGAGAAAAAATTATTCACTAAATAAAAAGTTCAATTTTGTAATAATATAATAATTTAATGCTTAGTAATTACTAAACAAAATTTGTTAACTTTGAAACTATTGATTTCTTTTTACGAAACATAATGCAATTCAGTTAAATTTGTTATAAATGTACTCAATGGTACGTTGAGCAATTATTAAGTCTAGCACTTAAGGCAAGTTTTCTGTACCCTTCAATTGCAATCAGAATGAAGTTTTGGTGCTGTTTTAATTAGTAAAAGTGGATGAGAAAAATTGAGAACTCGGAAATATAATTGAAATATACAAAATTTTTGAAAGTTTTATATGTATATATACAACAAGGGTGTATAATAAATGCTATGAAACTTAAGATTTCCTGTTCTCTTACGAAAAATATAGAACTGTATATTTAAAAAAAAAAAAAATAGATCGATTAGTTTTCAACAGTTACCTGCAATAATCTTTATATGAACACAACCCTATACATCATACGATATAATAAAAATTAAGTGCTCAAGAAGACCTTTGGTTTTCTTTTTCTGACTGTATCATCATTACGGTACTCCCGTACTTTTGTATAAGTATCATCACTAAATATAACAATAATACTACAGCATCCTGAATTATGTACAGACGTGCAGTTCTGTGAAGCGAAATTTTTCACAGACTTTACGTGAAGTCCACACGATCTCCGCCAATTGTCACGTCGAAATATTAGTTTATGCTACCACGAATTCTCCTCCATATTATCGAGTAAAGAATTCTTCTCTTCTTTCTTAGTACCGTTACTGCCCGGCATCGCGGTACGTAATTTTGGTTCAAAACATGGCTGTAAAAAATAAGATTTTAAATAAGAATGATCCAGCTCGTTTTGGAATCCTGGATGAAGCATGATGAAAACAACGAGCGAGATCCTTAAATTTATATATAGTAAAAGTATCTATCCCAATGTTTATAAAAATAATATGACACAAAGGTTACTATTAATTTCAAGTAACTTTATTATTATATTTAATTCTTTTTTATTAATTTTAAACTTAAAGCCTTAATGATACAAGTATTTTCTTTTTAATTAATACTGTCATTAAATTTTAATCTATACTGCAACACTTGTCAAGAACTCAACATTGTATGATTTCATAAAATTAAAATCTACAATAATTTCAACGAAACATGAATGATACACGCACGTGTATATGTCATAACTATCTAATAAAACATTTATTGAGATAATAAAAAAAAAATAATCTTAATTTCATTATGTACTTATAACTAAAAAAAGAAAATGAAAAATGTTATTTGTTTATATTTAGAGCGTAAAAAAATAAAAATGAGATTATTAAGCGAGATTCGTAACAAAGGAGAAAAAGAAATATTTTGCAAAAATATGATGCATCTAAAATGTTTTCATCAACTCTTTCCCTCCCAAGTTAAATAGATAATTAGAATGGCTGCAGTATATATTATAAATTTGTTTACTCATTGCACATATTGCATGCTATAAAAACATTGCATGCACGCAAATGATATTTTATATTTTATTTGGTGAATCACTCACAGTTTCACAGATATTCATGTTGCAGCAGTTCTCAATGGTTATTTCACACTGACTATCTGGTAGCTGTGGTCTAGAAGTTAGTGGCGTTACACCGCCTTTGCTGACAACGAAGCGCTTTTTGATACGTGGTCGTCTTCGTAATTTATTTACATAGTAACTAAGTATAATTATTACAAAAACAAGCATAGCGACAAATGCTCCAAACATGGGTAGTAGTATTCTATACTCATCGTCCTCTCTGGATTCGATCATTTGTACCATTTTTTGATTTACTTCTGAGCATCTGTTTATGTAAAAAACAATAAGTATTACTAACTGTAAGAATAATTAATGCATCAATCAACGTACAAGTAACGTACCTGCAGTTAAGTTTATGAGAGATGCTAATAGGAACTGACTCTCTATTTGTACAGTACATTTCACAAATTTCAGTACTATTATATAAAGCTTCACAACGAGATCCCTCGGAATATTTACACGTACAAACTGGTGTATCATTTTGGACGGAGCAGTGACCATCGTGCAAGCAATAATCTTTGCATAGGTCTGTTTCACACCTTGGTCCAACGAACGTGCCACTGCATTTACACTGGGGTAATCCGTGATTATTTATATTACAGCTGCCTTGATGGAGGCAATAATTGTGACAAAGATTTATCTCGCAATGCGTGCCAGTATATCTGAAACGTTACAATTTTAAAATTTTTATCTTTAATTCCAATTTAATTTTTAAGATATTTAAAACTTACCCAAGTTTACAGCTACAGCTACCAGTTTTCTCATCGATAGCTCCATCGTTTAAGCAGTGCTTGGAGTTCTCGGTGGTGGATTCCGATTCTTCCGTACTGGTAATTAAATTATTATACGATTCAACGATTCCCTGCGATAACGTCGAGTTGATCACACTGGTTTTGTGTCTTGACCTGTTGATCGCCGCACAATCTATCTTTCCCACGTTGTCACGCGCTATTATCCCAGCGGGATCGGCGTCATTTTTCGACGTATGATAAGAATAAAACATGATCGGCATGTCGCCGACTTTCGCGTCTTTCGATATCGTCCAGATAGCTTTGTGCACCAAATCGGACCAGTATATGGAATCATGATCCACGGTCAAATAAACTGGCTGTTGTCGTTTCGGGTGAACCAACAATTCACGTTCGGTACCGTCGAGATTGCTACGCTCAATTTTAATTCGTAAACCCTCGACGTCATCGATCCAATACAGCTTCCCTTCGAGATGATCTATAGCCACAGCTATTGGCTCGTACAAATTTTCTTTAATCACGGTAATTCGATTGCTTCCGTCTAGATTCGAGCGCTCGACGCTCGGATTCGTATAATTACTATTTACCCAGTATATGTGACTGGAAACAATGTATAATGGTCAGATATCCGCGCGTCCATTTCGTCCACGCGTTTCGTTTGTCCGGTTCGATTTTTTTTTTTTTTTTTCATAAGATTTTCGTATTCGACGCGAGAACTTTGAAATGGAATAAAGAGCTGGCCGAGATTGCCGTCGTCTAGGTAGAGGACATAAATGGCACACCTGTTACATACGTCCAAAGCGATACCACGTGGACTCCTGTACGTCAAATTGTGCAGCAGGATTGCTTCTTCCGGTGGTCCATCCACTGGCACGTGCATTTTCATGATCACACCTTTCAGAGCATCGCTCCAGAACAACGTTCTCGTCTTCGTGTCGAAAGCGATCCCTAGGATGTGACTTTTATTTTGTCCTGAGGATAATACAGAAATTTCTTTATAAATATTATATTTTATACGTGTATTCGTGAACCTTTCATGATGTTTGGATGCTAGACAGATTCTTTTGGCAAGCGGTAGTTTGCTTATGCTTCACGATATCTGTGCACTGACTTTTCCAAACTTGTCAAGCAAAACAATTTTAATTATTTTCAGTATTTAGTTTATGAAACATTCAAGCGTACAGTATGTACACCCCCCTATAATAAGAAGGATACTCAAATATGGATTATGGTTATAATATACCATTATTATAATTTTTCTTGTATGAATTATAAGGGGATTTACTGTACATTCTTGAATAAACGAAGTTATCATTGCACCTCCCTATATTAGCCTATAAGTTTGTTAATAAAATTTAATAATTATCGTCGATGTACTTACTTTTAAGTAACGGCTTCAAAGTAAAATTCTTGTCTGTCAAATCGGTATCGAATATCGACACGTTTTTATTGCTTGTATCACTAAAAAACATTGTTCGTGTAATATCATCATAGGCTAGCCCTGCTAGGGCCTCAGCTTCCGCCAGTTTAGCTTTTCCGGTTAGCGACTGATTGCGGGCGAAAAATTCAACATCGCGTCCTATCACTACAGCTAAATCTGCAAAATATGAAAATGCAAAGAAATTTAATTAGAAATTTCGGTTCAAAGTTACGAACATAGCGTAAATTTAAACGCAGCGCGATCGAATAATCTCTAATTAGTTAATAAATCAACTTATTTATCGGTGCAATTAAACCGGGGGAATTTATCTGACATTTCTTCTCCAACACTTACACGCTCGCTTAAGAAGCGATAATTTAAATGTTATTGAAATATAAAGAGTGTCGCATTCAAGAGGAACAAACATATTTGGTATCTTTGAGGGTACGATAATTTTATCAGAGACCAGGATCACGTAACCGAACTTCCAAATAAAGTTCGTTGCGAATATCATTTTATTTCTTCGAAAGGTTTACTTTAGAGACATTCGAGACAGTTCCGAAAATTGAATAGGCTTCACCGAATAAGATATCAATCATTTAATCATTCGAATGTATCGAGTTGCTTTCAACTATTCCAAGTATATCTTGCTTATGTCTGGCATATGTATCAGCGACAATTTCGCTTACGTTAGTAGCTAAAGTCTCGGTTTCATTAACAGGAGATAACGCGCGTCGTACGTGGCATCACGCACTTTTATTCTCACAGTTGTAATAAGATATCACCCTTTCGGAATGCGGTATCATGTAATTAAAAGTTGATTCTACATTAACCCCTCGCTTGTCGCGTATACATTGAATTCCAGGTTCGCTAATAAATCACAAAAGAAGGCTAAGAATAATTTCTCGGAAATTAGAAATAAAATTGACGAACGTATCGCCAACGACCCTTTTTAAATGTTTCTCTTCAGAGACTATTAAATTGAAATTCCCGTTCTTTAATCGATCAAAAAAAAAAGATAGAAGGGGAAAACCTAGCAAAATATTTCTATCGTTATTTAATATCTTTCCCTATAGACAAAGTGTCTCTTTAAGGTTATCAATTTATTTTTTTCATATTTACGATTCTCTTTTCCTTATGCTAAGTATATCTAATGAATTAAGATTATTAAACTATATGCTCTCATATGCGTAGCCGCGCGCGCATAGATATTCAAATTCTGCGCGTCGAAATTAAAAAGCACGGAAATCTTAAATTCTTAATATTTGAAAAACGAGCTTAATTATCAGAGTACGTGTGAAAATTCAATCTTTTTAGAAAAATATATCACAAATCTTCTTACAGGTGAAAAATCTTAAGCCGTTATAATATCAAATAATCTCTGACAAAATAACTTTAATCCTACGTTTTCGATCTTCTTTGAATCATTTCAGATAACAGAGTCCCAAACACGATAAGAAAATTTCAATGGGAAATCGTGTAATTGTGCAAGCCAAAGTACTGTTACAACGCTCTGTACGATAAACAAGAAAATATAGTAATTAACTAAATGAACGGGAAAATACTAAAAGTTATCAGGATGTCAACGAATCGGATCGAAAGTCGAAGATCATCGAATTCTTTATTTCCTGTTTAACGACTGTCCTGACCAGGAGAAAACACGTAAATGCGAATAAAGTTCGAATCACGGAATAAATTGTTGATGTTTTCGCAATTAACTCGTACGAGTGTTAAGTAACTTATACTATTGTCGAAATAGCGATGGGTTTCTTTGAATTCTATTTACCACAGAATCGATTTTATGCAAAAAGAACCACGTGTCTCATAAATATTTATTATCTATAAGGTTACAAGTTCGTCGCATCAGAAGTACGTAAATAATCGTGGACATTTTCATTGAAGAATCTGAGAATGATCACGACGTTTCAAATTTCGCTTTTTGTAACAGGGAATCAGCTAGTATTTATTGTACCTTTACTAATAAATCGACAATTATATGATAGCTCTAATTGTGTCCGAGTCTTTGAAAATCTTCATTGACCTTCGAACGGCCGTGGGCGGGTCAATCGTGACCCAGACCTACAAAACGCTTAAAACGGTACATGGATTAAAATTAGGCTCTGAAATTTCCAAACGAAAGGAACGTTGAACTTGGAAAATGAAAATAGAATTAAAATTCTAAATTATACGACACGTTTAACTATAATCGGGTAACGCAAAAAAAAAAAGAGATCAATTAAAACGATTACGCGGTGCACGCGTGAAATTAATGAACAGAAGAATGATATGCAAAGTTGATTCATTTTCCTTCGTTAATATTTCCATATGGAATTTGTGCTTTGAACGAATCTTGGTAAGCTTCGTTTTACGCTTACGTCTTGTAAGCGTAATCCCTTCGAGGTTTTCTATTCCACGTGTTAAAACCGATAAGAAAATCGCTACTCATACTCGAATCGTTTTGAAACGCTCTTGTCACGTTTATCCGTAACAAGTAGGTGCACTTGAAAGAAAAACGAATTAAATACGATTGGAATGCGAATAATCCAATCGTTATTCCTTTATCCTACTATATACATGTATAGATATTTGTCATAGCCGTGCCAAATGCACGGTGGTTAATTAAAGCATTTTTCCCTAATTAAATTAATCTGTTAATATATTTTTTTACCTAAGAATATCATATCGATCGACTGATAAGAATTATTTACATTGAATGTTTACAAAATTAAACAAACCTGCACAATCTTATCTGTTAATGCATTATGTAATTCATTTTTTCCACTTTTCCATACAGTGTAATGAAACACTTAGGACGTAATCAATCTGATTATTGCCAATCACTTTTTTCAAAGGTATTTACTATCCGATTGACACTTCTGTATAGATGGAAGAACCGATCAAAGATTAGACGTACGAAATTCCCTGTGACATAATTCGAGGGGTCGCGTGTTATTTTTAAACGCGTTGACACGCGGGTTTCTTTCGAGTGTCGGGCAAGCAAAAGAAAAAGCGACCCGTGAAACGTTGCACTCGTGCATATCGGCCGTGAAACGCGTGACTTCAAAGCACACCGGCGAACAATTGTTTCTAAGTCGAGTGAAACGTGATAAAGTAATTCGATCCGGGCCACTTTTTCAAGGTTTCGAAATGTTTTCGATAAAACGCAGAGTTTGCTGGTACGTTACACGACGTCAATACCGTTGTACGTAGATGCAAATACTACACGATCGCAGAGCATAATTTGACATTCATTACGTAAAACAGGTATAAGGACAAACACGGTTTCGCTCGATTATCGTATCGATACGAATTAGAAGAGAGTCTGATGATACGTCTCGATGCAAATAAAAGGTCGGTTTCATTCACCTTTGGGCTGTATTTTGTCTTTCTCTATGGTAAAACAGTCCGCGAAAAGTGGCGTACGTGACGAACAGAGCCGCGTGAATGGTGGAAGCGCTCGCACGACCCGCAACGCGGTCATCCTAATACGACCTCGTGTATTTAGCGTAATATTATTGTTACTACGTTAACATATGATATCTCGTCACAGAAAATCAATCGGTAGAACAATCAATTTACTTACCCCATGATCTGGCATCCGTGTTAACCGTTAGAAATGCCAGTATTATCGTTAATGTTACAGCAATGTATTCACGGGATGTCATGGTGTGCGTTCATTTGTTAGCTGAATAATTAGTCGAAGAGTATCTTCGGAACACAATTGACGGCTGGCAATGATATTTAGATGCACTACAATCTCGATTTCTCTTAATTTCAATAACGTACACAACGAACAACAATGCACATCCTCACGCTACGGCGGCAGTGCGCGAACTGAGAGCTCGTGACTTCTGCACGACGGTAAGAGCGCGGCGTCAGCCAATGGCGTAACGCGTACCATTTCGTTTTCACATTCAAATTAATGCTGTTTAGGCGGCGTTTTAAATATTACGTACCAAGTAGTTAGATAAGTTTAAAGAATATATTTGCAACGATTGCAAGGTCTTGTAAAATTGTAGTTAATTTTTAGATATTTGTAGATGTAGATTATATTTACGAATATGTCTAGAAGCACTTGCATAAATTTGTGAAATTAAGTAACTTATTCTTTTCTCGTATAATTAGTTTAATTTATTTTGCTCGTTGTTGAAACTTTAAAGTATATTTGTAAATTGAATAATCAAATAATATAATAAAATTTTGAATTATAAAGTTAAATATATGTAAGGTATTTATCGCAAGTTATTATATTGCTTTTAAAATTCATTTAACCTTCAACAGGCTGGAAATATGTAAGAAAGTTCAAGTGGCGCCACCCGTGTTTAATTGGGGAAGCTTTCAGTTCTTAGAAAACAGTATAGATGGTACTGATGTTTATTTCCGGTTATATTCTAATTGCGCCATTGATTTTAAATTAAATTAAGAGAAAATGAAGCAAATAATTTGAATATAATTGATGTTATTGAAGCGAAAAACAAATGTTTCAAGTGCAAAGTATAAAATTGTATTTTAATTTGCCGCATATCTTTATTTTTAATTGTTTTTCGACTTCCTGTTATCAATATATGATCCTTCATCGGTATGTACATCATTTTCCATAAATTCCGTTTAAAACAATATTACGACAAATGAAAAATACATTAGCACCATGTGATCAGTTATTCAGTTTACGCGATGCATTATAAATTACACGTTTTTATGCAATATTTTAATTCCACGCATTTCGTGTCTTCTGCGCATCTACAAAATTCGCGCAAGGGTAGATGCTCCTAAGCTGGAGCAACACTAACGCCACAATATTACTCTGAAGAATAAAAGTAAGTCAACCCATCGATATTTCGTCTCGGTCGATATCACCACTGTTAAAAACACGGATCACCAAGTTCACGGTACGTATTTGTATCGTTTTCGAATGAAAAACTTGCTGATGAGTTTGGTCTCGTAGGTGATGAGAGCACATAGAAAGAATAGGAAATTTGCAAAGCGGAAAAACGTGGTGCGCGAAGCGGGAAATGTTCTCTATGGCCCCGAAGCGACGACGCCACGTACTAGATGGTTGTATATTATTGATCAATAAGAGAGGCTAACATGGGTGACCCGTGCCGGCAGAGGCAGCTGTTACTTCCTTCGTATTTTTACGCGACGTGCGTGTTTCGCGAGAAACCAATTCCAATTTCAGAACCGTGTCCACGCGATCTCGATGATCCCTTGGCTGCCTACGACGACGTAAGATCGTATTCAGTGGACGATAAGCACCGACCATATGTGAAACCGGCCAACCTCTTACTTCTGTGGAAATACACAAATCGAGGGAGACAGAGGGAGTAACCTGAAGAGTATAACGGCAGGATAGCCAGAAGGCAAAAGAGAAAGAGAGAGAGAGTGAGACAGAAAAGGTGTGGAAGTAAGCGAGAACGCTAGAGGGAGTAGAAAGGAAAAGAAAGTAACAGAAGAGGAATCGTAGAAATAGAGGGAGAAAGACGTGAACGACATGTGTCTGTGTTGAAGAATTTTATCCGCGATAGTGCGACAGCCAAGGGTGCGCCGAGAGAGAAGATCGGTAATATTTTCTTTTCCAATATCCGATACTCTCTCGTCGCCTACACGGAACTATCGATGCAGACCTTACGGAAGAAAAACAGTCCGTGCAAGTGTGAGTAAGAAAAAAATGATAACCAACCCCTTACGAATTTTCTACGATATCAAACGTGTCGTATCTATGTCGTTTTGTGATCTTAGTGTACAGGTTGCGATTCGAATCGAGAGGTACGCGAGCTGGACGGGAGTTTCAGCCCTTTTAGTGGAATCTTAAACAATTTGTGGGCATTAAATTTGTGATATCACCCCCGTAGATCGATCAGAGGGAGCCTTGGAATATGGCTTCCCCCCTTTAAGAGGGAGAAAGACGACGGTCGCTCGATTCGAGTCCGGCTAAGTAATTTCATGTGTGTTCAATGTATTGTAAAAACGCACGAGATATGTGGCTTGAAAACTAATGAAAGAAAGCACCCCTTTTTGATGGAAGAAACACTGTTATTTTCTAATTTTCGCGGTTATCTTTTAAGGATGCATTTACCGACCGTGGTAACGGATTTTTTTTACGATTGCGTTCACACGTACTAGAATAGATGGCGGAGCCATCAACTTTGTACCCTACCAAGAATTATTTTAAACTTTTCATCTTTTACATTTTACATTAACTTTGTAAACTAAGTTACTTGGCAAAGAAGAAAGTTTTCAATTACATAAACACGTAAAATGAACCTAAAGACTCAGTTTCTGTTTCCTTTTAATCTTCTCTGCTTCTTTTTCTTTCCAACTTTATTATACCCCGTACAAATCTATTAAATACAAAGAAGACGTTTAATTCTTAGTCTACAGATTAAAGTTTCATCGTTTCATCGAAACAAAAGAAACACGATTCAGTAAGCTCGAGGTTTCTCTTGAATTAGAAACCCCTTTGTCGAGGGCGCCTGACAATAGGCAACCGACAGCGCACGCAGGCAAGCGGGTCAAAGAAGAAGTAACACCTGTTCCAACTGTTTCATTGTTAAAGAATCAACAAATTTATATCAGTTCGATTGCTAAAGAATACTTGTAAATGGTCTGGAAGTTGAATCAGATAGATTCGAATCTATTATGAGCACTTATTGAAACTTAAACGATCCTTTAGGGAGAGTTTAAAATAGGTTCTCACCTAGGTTCTAAGAGCAAATGAAAATGGTGTGAGGAGGCAACTTTCTCTACCTTTTCCTTTGACCAAGAGAAGTCTATTAAAATGATTTACACATCAGTAATGAGGATGACATCGAGGTTCGTGAGTTAGGTGACTCATCCAATACCTATTGATCCGTTATTTCGCGCGTCTAGTTTTATTGTGACAGCACGAAGCAAACGTAAAGAGATTTCGCATGCGCTCGTATTAGGCGGAAAGATAGGAAAAAAGGGCTCGGCAAGGTGACCGGGACGAGGAGAAAAGGGCACGTAGGATGAATTGATTATCCGGATCGTGGTTTCAAGTATCGACAGTTGGCGTTCTCCACTCGAGATCCAGGAGAGTTTCGTTCAAACAAATGTGCCGGTGTGGTCGTAGCTATTAAAGTTGCCGAGGGGTCGTCGAAAGTGTGCGTAAAGAAGCTCTGCGTCACGCTGGGGATTTCGATAAATTGTCCATGGAAAGGCAAATCATCGAGTCACCGCTGAGCGACGATACGAGCTTGAAAGATTAAGGGGGGAGTTCTGATCAACGAGCGGATTCGAATATCTCAAACGCAACGCGTTTGACCTTTTTCAACAATGTTGACCCAATGGGTCAGAATTATGAACGCTCTTCATGTTTGTTACGTGCAAACAATGTGCATCAGGTATATTTGTTAACAATTTTTATATATTAGAATATCCAGAATATCAATTACCAACAGGAAAGAGAGTTTCTAATTGTCAGAGGGCTGTGAATAGAGTATCGCGAAAGTGAAATAAATTGCTTATCTCGAGGACACTCGAAAGAATTCTCGTTCCAAGCTTTCGTCCAACAAATTGATCGTACGACCGATCAATATTGGTTCGAGTGGTTTCAAAAGCATCGCGGACGGATCGTTTCGCACCCTGCTTCGAATCTACTAACCCAACAGATAATGAAATATTCAATAGTTGATGACTTATTTGATTGATTTTCCAGTCAAGAACGAGCCAACCCGATTTCTTGGGGAAGGTGTGTCGTTCAAGGCGAAGTTGATCGGTATATTAGAAGTGTCGGAAGCACGTGGGGACCGGATGTGCCAGGCTGCTTTGGCCGATCTGAAAATGGCGATTCGGGCAGCTGGTGAACACAAACAACGAATCGCTGTTCAGGTCAGCATCGATGGGTTACGTTTGAGGGATGAAAAGTCAGGGGTAAGTATTACTACAACTCCTTTATTTTTTTTGTCAATTCTATCTTTCCTTCAATTCACATTTTTTAATGTGTATTTTCTAGGACTGCCTGTATCATCATCCTGTACATAAAATATCGTTTATCGCGCAGGACATGAGCGATTCAAGAGCGTTTGGGTATATTTTTGGCTCACCGGATACTGGCCATCGTTTCTTTGGCATCAAGACAGATAAAGCGGCGAGCCAAGTAAGAGAAAACATCGATAAAATATTTTTTCTTTTAAGAATAATGGAGTATTGCCTTTGATAAACAACAAAGGAGAATCTCCTATGCATTGATTCCATTGAGAAATCGTTGGTGCGCGAATACGAACGTTTATCGGGAATGATTCGTTTTGGTGAAGCAAGGGAGTCGAAAATGATATTTGTCCAATCGGTAGAAGCAATATCGACTTCGGTAGCTCGGTAATTCCGAAGGGGTATGTAAATAATTGTATTACGCGGATCGGCCTACCGCCCCAACGATACACTGCGGGAGATTGTTGTTCGATTACACGCGAATCCCTTCCTCCTCTCATTCAAAGGGCTTGAAATTTCATTCTCACTTTTTCCTTTGATTTAAAAATTAGAAATTTAGAAAGACGAATTGAATTTTTCGTTCTTCTCTTAGGTGGTGATAGCGATGCGAGATCTTTTCCAAGTGGTTTTCGAATTGAAAAAGAAAGAAATTGAATTAACGAAGCAACATTTGGAACAGAATGCTATAAATGTTATTAAATTTCATACTGGTGGCATTTTCACCGAACCTACCCCTGATACTAAGGTAGTAACAATTTAAAATATAGAATTGTTACATGAAACTTTAAAAATTTTAATCGAAATAGGGTGCAGCAGGATCAGAGTCATCGATCCATCGAGTGAGGAATACAAATTCAGAAGCAGATAAGTCAGCTGATAAACGAAACGAGTCTCAAAGTGGAGTGATTGCGAATTTACTCGATCTCCACTTCGAATTAAACTCGTTACAACAAGGAATTCATCACATGGACAAGATCACACCTGAGAATCAAACAGCTTCAGCAGATGATCTCTTTGAAACTGATCCTTTTGGTGATTCCTTCGCAAACATGAAGGTATGTTCAGTTTAATAATTACTTGTATTGTATGATCTGTAATATAAATGTGATTGCAGCTTGACGATACCGTGAGACCAATTTTACCACCACCCCCGTCATCATCCAAAAGAGGTCATTTGGAGCGACAACAAACGATCCCTGGTTCTCAGTCATCGATCACGTCCAGTCCAGCGACGACTGTCACGAGTAAAACACCACCGCTTCAGGGCTCTGTACAGTGGTTCGATAAGGAAACTGAAAACCTTTTCAGCGACGGCGAATTGACTAATTCGGCGAAGAATACACCGGTCAAAAAGGAAGCGGAAGAGGTCACTGCTTATACTGTAATTATCATCTGGTCCAAATTTTATACAATCAAGCTGTTCATCTAGTTGATTATACTACTTCTAATTGATGATTGTTTCAGGCACAAGCTAAAAGCCCTCAAATAGACGTTTTCACAGAGTTGGATCCCCTAGGAACCGGTCTGATAAAACCATACGTCGATAAGAAGGACTTTTTCCAACACTTGAAGAACCCTCCTAAGAAAGTCCTGAAAGACTTAGTGCCCACTAGCTCGGCAGACACGTTCCCAACGAATTTCAGTGAACTCTCGGATCCACTAGACTCGGTGACGGTTCGAAACGATGTGACATCGAAGGACAGTCAGTTCGACGATAACAATTTCGCAAACTTCGACCGATTCGACGAGAACGAGACAGCGTTCACCTGCCCCGATTCCTCACAAACAACAGAAGTTAGTCCGAGACCAACGCATCATCAACCACTTTCCGTATCCCTACCACCTGAAGATTCTTCCGCGACGAAATCTCCCGCGGTGTCCTCTGTTCCTGCTTCCGGAGGAGTGCCTCTGCTCGGTAGAATGGACAAGGACTCCACAGAGTCCATGCATGGCCTAGTAAAACTCCCCAGCCCTATCAAATCCGCACGCAAGAAGGAATTTGACATTGATCTGCCTAGCAACAAGTCCATAGACAAACCGTTTCCTGTTGACTTTACGACGGCTAACGAATCACCGGCGTCTCCATTAAAGTCCTGCTCGTCCGACGCGAATTCAAGACTGTCCACTTCGTCGGCGGAACTGGAACTGGTACCCGAGCCACCGCCTCGGGGAGTTGGCAATATTGTGATCAATCCGCCACCCTTGCCGCCCAAGAAGCAAGGAGTCAGAGCAGCGATGAAGCCTCCTCCAAGGCCACCGCACACCGACTACTTCCATTACGATTTCCCTGAACGCGAACCTGTTACGACTAAGGACAGAAGCAAGAGTCCTATCGATGTGAAGGGTCAGTTTGACGACAACTTTAGCCCACCAGTTCAAGTGTCCAAGTCTGATCTGATAGGATCGATGACCACGACCACGTTCGAGGATTCCTTTAGCTCCATGGTGCCTACTACGAACTTGTCTACGTTTTTTACCAGTACGAACACATCGACCGGCCCAAAGAAGCCGAAACCTTCGTTGGACATCACTTTGAGCCAACTGACGTCTTCGAATTTGGACGAGCTAGCTAGCAGTTTGGGTATGACGGTCAAGGAGTTGACTAGTTTGACTCTTCAACAACTGACGGAGTGTCTGACCACTCTCTCAGCTAAGGAGGCTGCTGCTAGCGATACAGAGGAGGTTCCTGCTAAACAAGAACAGACTGCTTACAAGTCAGAGCAGTTGTCCAACGTGGAAATAAAATCTTACACCGATAGCCAGGCTTTCACTAATATCAGTACCGAACAGGAGATCAAGGAATCAGCTACTTATGATAAGTACGCTGTTTTCCGAGAACTGCTGGAGCTGGAACAGTTGGAGAGGAATGGTGATACTACAATGACGGAGACGGTTGAAGAGGAGACATCTTCAATACCTCCAGATGAGTTTGAAACTAGTAGTCAGCAACAGGAATCATGCGAGGAGAGCAGAACAGAATCGTTGGCTTCGTTGGTGAACCTGACTGTGAAACTTCCGCCCAGTAACGAGGATCTGACGAAAGAGGAGCCATCCAATGCGAAAATCGAAGAGCCAAGCGAGTCTTCTACGGGACTAACCTTTGAGAAGAGTCAGTCCGAGGAAACTGAGTGTAAGATCACAGAATCGATGACGGAAGCTGAAGGTACGACAGATTTTCTGCCAAAGCAGGCTACAACGGAAAACGAGGAAGATTCTGAGAGACTTAGTTCCATAGAAATGGAAGAGAAAGCCGACGACAAAGAATCTATCGGTAAACCAAGCAGTTCCAACGAAGATTCTGATAAACCAGCTACAGAGACCAGCGCGGAGGAGACGAATGGTTCGGTGATTGTGGAGAAGACCGAGGTAAAATCCTCCGTGTCGACCTCTAGTGACAAATACGCTGCTTTGCGCGAAATCATTGGAGAACCAGAACCACCAGTTAAACAGAACGAGGATGATTTGTCCAATTCCCCTCGAGCATCGCCCGTGATTCAATCTTCTCAATCAAAAGGTTCGGCAGAAGTGGAACTGTTGAACCTGTTCTCTGACACCCCACCTCTGTCTAGCCCAAAGAAACAGCCTAAGAAAGAGGAAGACAGTAAGACAATGGGGATGGATATTTTTGAAGAGATCAAGATGCTGAGCACCGGTGCTCACTCCGAACCAAAGGACTCTAGTCAACGAGCACCTAAATTACTGATTCCAGAGGACATCTTCTGTCCCTTCGCGGAGTTGAAACAAGATAGGGACGACAGTAAGGATGACAACTGGGCTAAGTTTGACACAGGCTTATTCGTTTCGGACAGACCTTGCGAAGGTCCTCATTCCATAAGCGGAACTTCGCCATGGTCACCCGATGGCAAAGAGTTCCATAAGGAGCCTTCCTTTAAAGGAAGCATGTACCGACAATCTGGAGATAGCGATAATGAATGGAAGGACGAGGAGGAGAGCGAGGAGAGCAACGGAAGGATACGAGGGGACGAGAGATTCTGGTGCAGTCGTCTTCCCAGAATCGAGCCTCCTCGGATGGACGCTCCACGGCTCGGTGGTCCCGGAAGCAAACGAGATAGGAGCTTCCGTGACAGAATGGTGGAAAAACCTCGGGAGGCAGCATGGATGAAGAATCCTTGCCACAGACCACGCGAACCTTCCCCGTGGCACGACGAGAGCCAGTGGGATAAAGAATCCAGGCGTTATCCTCATCGGAAGATGCCGTACAAGGACGAGGAGGAGCAATACGAGGCGCATTGGAAGTGCAGGCCAAAGCCTCAGCGTTGGAACTGGCCCCACGAGCACGGACCTTTCTACGACGACGAGAGAAAGAGGAAAATGATGCTTTGGAAAGACGATAGGTTCGGTAGTCAGGAGAGCATGGGCTACGACGAGGAAGACAGATGGCCCAGGCGAAAGTACGAGCGAAGACGATGGGAGGAAGATGCCAGATTCTGGAACCGAAGGACAGGACCACCCGACTCTGACTATGCTACCAGAGAGGGTTATTACTATTACAGAGAAAACAGGGATAGACCGCACGATTATCCCACGACATGGGACGAAGAATACGGTTCCGATAGACCAGGGGACGATTCACCAAGATACAGTCTTTCCGGGAGGAAGAGGCACTGGCCCAAGAGGCCGAACAGCGCGAACGAAGGTCGCAATGCCGACATGGTTTACCCCGAATCCCGAGGCAAATTCGGCACATCCAGGTCTGAGTGCAGCGACAACGACTCAGACCCGTATCCAAGATCCTCCCAACGCTCCAGGAGTCGCGAGAGTTACTGGGGCAGCGACCAAGAGTACGACAGCTGGGCGGAGAGACCTTACTGGTCCGAGGGTCCGGATTCCAAGAGCGAGAGTCTACACCGGAAGAAGGTACCCCGGCATAAACCCCGGCAGCCTCACGCGAAGACACAGAGCCCATTCGAGGACGATTTTGCCCAGAGCATAGAACACGTCGACCCATCTGCGGTGGAATCTTTAGCCACGGTAGAGCCACGTATACGTTCCGACATGGAACAGCCACCACCACCTACCAGTCCATCCTCCAGCAAGAGGTACCCGAAGGATCTGCCCAGGAAGGACATCCAGAGGGAGTATAGCAAGAGGTCCAGTTATTTTGAGGATGATTTAACGCCTACGGCAAGTGGGATGAGCGATACATCTGATCGTCAAAGGTTATCTTCTGAACTGAAGGCTACCCCTGAAGAGCTACCATGTGACAGCAAGGATGCCCATCAAACGGCTGATGGTTTCGTGTCTGAGGATAGCGGTCGTGACTCCTATTTCAACGGAGACCTGAGATACGACGATGACGACGCATTTACGTTCAAGTCCGAACTCGAAGACAACGTGTCTGATCATCGGACCACCACGTTACCCCTGAAGAACCACAGTCGGCAAGGGAAGTACAGCGCCGGGAGTAATAATAATAATAACAAGAGAAGTGACCAGTACATCAGAAAGTCCGAGTCGGTGAACATATTCGTGAGGGAGAACGATCCGTTCGATGATGACGATTTCTTTAATTGATGGGTCGTTTCAATGGGTGCTCGAGTTGCTGGTGCTGGACATTGCTACGTAATTTTTCGAACGTTTGCCTCGGTTCTCGCCCTGTGTCCAAGAGCGGATTCCGACCACCTGGCCACGACGAACCATTCCAGATCAGGACGAACATGTACCTTCGTGTTTTTCTCGGTTGTTCGGGCACATCGTTTATGTTTGATGGATAGTCATAAATTCTATGACACCGCGATCATTCGTTGTTGGCTAGCGAGAGCGATCATCTAGTCATTGTTTTAACAAATTTGTATATAATGTTATTAGCGCGAAATCGGCAGGGGTCTCTTTGATTCTTCATCAACGAGCATAGTTATCGCGTTCTTGCTTTGTTCGTTTGATACGACGATACTAGTCATGTTCGAGGAGGTTTAGAAATATTTTGGAGGAGACTGATAATGATCGATGATTGCATTTAAAATTGTTGGAAGTTTTTCGATGTATTCTTGTCCTGTTGCACCATGGTATACCATTTTAATTATCTCTAGTCTGAAGTACCAAAGATTATCTTTAGTTATCTCTAGTCTTATTAAGAACAAATACATATATTTTTTTTAATTACTTTACAAGGGAGTAAAGTTTGCATCCTTCAACTCTGAACATTTCCAAATATAAAAATCTGGACTATGAAAGTCTGAAGAGATCTCATTGGATAGCTATTGTTTGAAACTTGTCGAGGAATCAGAACTGGATGGCTTTTATTCGTTTCCATTCGGTACGAGATGTATTCTTGTCGAATTATAAGGGTGACGTACGCTCCCCCACACATGTTCTATTTTTTTTGTTTTTTTGTATTCGATAATACGCTTACTCCTCCCAAAATGTAAAGAAAATTATTTAAAAAAGTTTTCTATCTGAGTTACGCATCATCTCATTAAAGACATTTTTTATCAATCAAATCGAAAAGGTAGACACTTTCCTGATACATGAATTTATACTATGAAACTGGAAGATCAATTAAATGAAATTCCTGAAGATAATTTCAGGAAAAGAACGTTTCAAACAATTGTACCGAAGCTTAATTTTTACCTAACTGTGCTTTTATCTCGATGTACACGCAATTAGCGGAAACGGAAGTCCACGTCGCAAGAAATGACACAAGACACGGATATAGTCTGTATAAGATGCATAAAGATGTTTACAGTAATCAGCTATTATTTAACAAGTTAATTGCCATTCGGGTCGCAGCTAAAATAATTATGAAATTGGGAGTAGAAAATTGAAAGATTAATTTTGAATCATTTTATGGGGGTTGTTTCTGCTATGGCAATCAACGTGTTAATAGAATGTCCGCAGAGCGTAATTACTTTCATGATTTTAGTGCGCTATTAATTGTGAGAATTGTCATTTTTAATACGACCACTGTGTGTCAGAATTGCTCTGACCATTTGTTCCGTGAATTATTGTCAACCTCCCGGTGAAGATAAGTCGCAGTATATAAAAAAAAAACAAAACGAAAAAACAAACGATACTGTTCGAAGAAATTTTCACTTTAAAAGATGTTGAAACAGAATAAACTTCTTTTGGAAGAATTTTGTCTATTTGAATTGACCTAACTGTACCTAATCCTTACCCGGTAAAATTCCTCCTGTATTCTCACATCCATTCTATCATATTTTAAGGATACATCTATTTTAAATTGTTAATAAATTGGGTAGTTGTGAAACATTTGAAGAATACTTTGAAAGGCATGGGTCATGAAAAGGCTCGACGGTCTTTGGAATGATCGGTGGCAGAGCGGGAGGTACCTCACCCTATCGTATCGAAGCGGGTAGATCCCTCGGTTAGCCGTGTTCCCCGTTCCTTGATTTGGCCGAGCACAATGCACAATAAAAGAGCATTAGATCGTCGGCTTTGTCGAGCGGTTGCACGACTTCTCGTAACAATGGCGTGGCCCCCACTCGGCCCCAAGTACTCGAAACACCTGGCAAACAAGGAAACAATGCGCACGAGCCGCACTTCGACGGGATTTCGCGCATTTGGGGTGCGCGCATGCTAACAAATTATCACCCCCCTCTGTCACTTTTCTCTCGTTTTCTCTCTTTACCCGTCTAGTCTCCCTGTTTCCCTCTGAACCAGCTAAATACTTTCCTTCTTGCTGTCGCGATTACGCAGCAACCTCGTGTCAGCCAGGTTTAATGACCGCCCTCCTCGAGATACCACCTTCTTCTTTTTTTTTTTTCTTTTTTTTTCACCTCCTCTCGTGAAACAGGAATAGTTTGACATTGAGATAATAGAGAGAAACACAAGGACAGCTTGAACTTCTATTTTTCGCATTGCTGTCAAGTAAGGGGCTTGTTTTAGGTAGCTTTAATTAAAAATATTCAAGTACCAGTTATCCAATTATAATTATCACCAACAATTTGCTGAAAAGAAAGATGCAGCTATGTCCTTTGTCGCGATACTAGTCGTTGACCTAACACTGTGTAGAAGTAAGTAGAGGAGGTGACGCAACGAGGGCGAGAAAAAGGGGAAGAAAGAAGAAAATCAACCCGCATGTGCTCGGACGCACTTGAAAACGAAAAGTACTTTTGGTCCAAGAGCGATATGGAGGCGGTATACGTCGAAGAACGTGAAGAGTGTACCGAGGGTGCGTGAACTATGAAATGCACCGGCTGTACATGTTCCCTCTTTCGACGAATGTAGCTCTGAAAAGCCACGAGAAATGTTTATAATTGGGATCGTTGGCCCGTTTCGTTCTCCTTTCTTCGTATACACACACACATACGCAAATGCCACCGTTCAACACCTGCTATATTCGTGTGTATAGAATCTTTGAGAATATTTAAAAAATTCAGACCGATAATAATCAGTCTGTTTTGAAATTCTCTATGATGCTTAAAATTTCCGGTGTCGCTTAAGCTCTTGATCAGCGAGATCGTTAGCGTGATCGTGCAACCGCTTTGCCAATGTCGGTCTATCAATATTTCATAAGCCTGGTAGAAAAAAAGGGGGACGAGTGTTTACAGCTCGGTAAGCGACGAATCCTCGATCTTGTTCGCCGGTTAGCCGTAAGTGTCTTCCCCGTCGGGGAATTTGCATCGAATTGAATTTCAAATTCGTGACCAAAGTCTCGAGCACCCTCTTCCCTTCGATCCTGGGCGAAATGAAATTATTATTAATATAGTCTCGCGATACTATGACCGCCCTCGGATTCGAGCAATTTCCCTTATTATTCAATTTACAATCGAAGAAATTATTGTTACGCGCGAAACGGGGGTTAAACAAGGTTTCGCACGTTCTCAATTCTCCATAATCGCGAAATCGTCGAAGGAAATAAAACGCGTCGATCCGTCTGTGTGGCAAGCGAAATATTCTCGACTTAACGGTGCACAGAGATGCAAATCCGTAGTTCTTTCTCCCAAAGGAAGCTTCAGTTTGCCGTCTCTGAATCGCGTAGGTAAATGGCTGTTCTCTTTAACCGCATACACGAGGAGCTTGCGAGCAACAAAAAGGAAGAAGCTGAAGAAAAGAAAAAAAGGAAAGGGGAGAAAAGCAGAGGGTGGAAAGTAACCGGGTGAGTAAAGGAAGACGAGAGAGAGGAAAGAAAGAACGAAGGAGGCTTGTCACGAAACAGAGAGAGGATCAGAGGCACGTACACTCTCCTCCAGAAGTCGTACAACATCTTGGCATTTTTTTTTTTTTCTTATCCGTTTAAAATATATATGTAGAGACTAATAATTTTGTTATATAGATTTTTGGAAGAATAAGGGTTTTAGAATAAATATAGAAGGCTATCAAGATTATTATAGTTCTACGTTTTCTATTGCTGAGGAAATTTTACTATTCATAAAATAATTATATTCAACGCAAAAAAATCAATGAATAATCGTTTGATTCAATACCGCGAGGGTGTTCAATTTAAACGTAAAGCTGCAATGTAGCATGACTTATGGACGGGAGTGTAGAAGAGGAAGTTGTCGAGTAGGTAAGGTAAAAAGGAACGAGTAAGGAAGAAAGAAAGAGAGTTACTGGCGGGAAAAACGGTGTCTTGGAAAAAGGTGCAAAGCCGACAGTATTCTTTGTAGCGGGGGATATTCGCCTTCTGTGCCGAAGACCTCTCGCACTTCTTTACCTTTTACAGCCCCCCGTCGTCGGTTCTTCAGACCCTCCAACGATTTCTAGAAGCGTCTTCTTCTTCTTTCTTACACGACCATTTCCACTTCCTTGCACGCTTTACGTCTCCTTCGTCTTCGTTGCAACGATTACAGCGCAACTACTGTAGCTGAGAAGGCTGCCTTCTAGTAGTACAGCCAGCTTACTTCTCCGCCCATGCTTTGGATCCCTTACTCGACAGCCACTTCTGCCACGAGATATTTACCAACATCCAAGATGGCGGCATAATCTTCCTGGCTTTACCTCGAAAGTCGACGAGTCATCCACGCAGACGGTCCCTTTTATTTTCTGCCCATAAACACTTTCGTCCTTGTCCGCCCTAAAGCTAGCAGGACCTTTCTCCTTTCTTCCTAACAGAAAGTTCACCACTTCCAGATTTTACGAAGGGTAGAAGTTTATTTCTGATAGTCGAGAAATTTCCTCGGTGCACTAGTTCTCTCGTTTGATGACCGCACATTTTATGGAACTGGTGGCTTCGAACTTACAAACTTTTATCGTAGCTTCCATTTAAAACGTCAAATCATCAGCTACATCTTTTCTTTGGAGGTAGAAGTAAGATGGGGTGTAATAAGTCTAAGGGACACCCTCGAGATTTATTCGAAGGAGATGGAGGAGGGAAGAAATCAGTAGAGGTAAATACGTGTGGTGAGAGTCCAGGATAAGAAGCAATCGAATCGAATAGTGGAACTCATGGAATCCGCAATCCGTCGCGAAGTGAATGGCGAACGCCTAAGGGTTCCATCCTTGGGTATACCACACCGCTGTCTCTTCTACTGTTCGACGACCTAACCTAACCTGGCGGCAACTCCAGATTAATGTGGTAATCGCTGAATCAGCAAAAGACACGACGTTAGTGAAAAGGTAAGTGGAATCTTACGATCTTCCTATCAGTTTCGATGCTTTTTCAACGAGTCTAGGATATCGATGAAACAGAAGGAAAGGAGAATGAAAATTGAATCGATACGAAATCTATTAAAAGTTAGGATTTTTTCAAGAAGACTATGTCTGACCATAGAGGCGATCCTCTTCCACTTTATCTAAAAATTGCCAAACGTTAACAATGATTCTTATCGTCTATCAGAAATAAACTTGACAGGTTTGAAAAGAATTTTCTTAAAGCATCGAGCTGCTTTGACTGCTCAGAATGCGGATCATCAATGCAACGAATATGGCGTAAATAAATACGAGGCGAAGGGAAGAAAAGAAGGGTGAATCGAGGCTGGATAGTCACGGAAGAACCTGGCTGGTACGCGGAGTAAGTGCAATAATACCAGATTATTTGCATCGCAAAGCCGTGCGTATGGGTAAACACAATATTCGCTCTCTGCTCGACTCTGTGAACCGATAGTGCGCTCAGGTAGATACGCATCCATCTATACGTTTCTCTTTTCCACCCCCTACGTCCATCCCTTTTCATCCAACACAATCATCCTTCTCTCTTTTATTCTCTCTATTCCATCTATATCGTTGTCCCTGTCCGTTCCACAGTGGCGTAATACAGATTCTATTTGAGCTGCCTGAGGGAAGTTAACTCGTGATGCGTGCAGCTCGGCTCGCTCTGTTGGCGATACAACGGAATCCATCGTTCTCCATTTCGAGGCTGCAAATCCAAGGACCCAGGGTCTCGTCAACCCTGTTTCCGTGATCACGATCACCGTTTAGGTGATCACCTTTCCAGAATAATTATGGAAACGTGAATAGGAACGAAGAGAGGGAAGGGATACCATTGTCAGAATTGCGATAACGTTTAAATATTAAAAACGGGATAATCAAAGTTGAAAAGAAATAAAATGAAACCTCCCAAACTGATGAAGAAGGATTAATAAACAGCTCGAAAATGAGATAGATCCATGGAAATACTTAAATCGAATTGATTGAATCGTCTAACCCGCGTGCGAAACAGCAACAGAGAAACCATGGAAGTTGTTAGATGAATGGAGGATTAGAAAATCGATATCGATACGGGCCAGACTAGTGGGTTTCTATTAGTATGTAACGCCTGGTCCTTTCATCGTTGTGCCGCTCAAAGCAAAGCAGGAGTGTTACAATTTCGCCCTCTCTCCAGAGTCTGCCTGGAAAGTCCCTTTATCTCTATCCCGCTATTTTCCTAACTCCGACGTCCCCTCCGGGCCTTTCTCCTCGTTGGTGGTGACGACGACAACGATTCCTCTTCTCTCGGCTGAAGGAGGGAGCAGAACTGGATAGCAGGCAATGGTGGGAGAGACGACCAGCCACCCCTATCGGTAGGGGTTGAAATGCCCGCCCATTGGTCCGCCCATACAGGGCCAAAGCAGTCACTTCGAATCAATTCGACCCACGATTTCGCCTCGTAGACGCTCCTCCACGGTGCTGGCACACTCGGCAATCGTGCTTCATAAGCTTCGACCGCATTTCGTACACCTAATCTCGTCGAACCGCGATCGAGAAGAATGTTCGCGCTGTCGTTGCCTCGGCAGACGTGAAAGATACAAATAAACCAGTGATAATTGTTTCGTTTTCATCGTTGTGAATATCACAGTGTGCGATTAGGAGGGGAAAGTGGAGGTCTTAGAAAAGAGATCGTTCGAAGCAAAGGTGATCTAGCATGAGCGTGAATCGTGACGATTACCGAGGACTGTTTATGATAGAACCGAGTACGTCATTGCAAGCCATCATCCTTGAGATACTCAACTCGCACGCAAGTACACGGCGGGGAAAACGGGCGTAGAAAAAAAAACCCTCGTTATCGTTGTGGAAACAAACTATTAGCCTAAGATAGCATTTCGTCGGTGCTCGCGTGTGTGACAGTTGCCTCGCTAAAATATGTCGGAAGAGGAACGCTCGTGCAATCTCGCGATCGTTCAGTGACTCGTTTACGCTTCGACTTTCAAGTGAATTCCGTTTCGTTAGACCCGACGATAAAACTAACAAGACTATAAACAGACTATTAAGGTTTTTTGACGCGCGCACGCGCGCGTATCTTTACCCTGTTACATGCAGACAGAACAGGATGAGCAGAGGGAAAGAGTTCGCAGAGGTGCCAGGAGGGTTTTCGAATTAAAATCCATAATTATCGAGCCGCGAATTTGCCCATGAAGCGATCACGATGGAACCGCGTGGGATGATGATGCCTAACCTGTCGTGCGACGGCTGCGTGGACAGCGATCGCGACTCCGACAGTAGCAGCATGATCGTGGACCCGGTGAGTCTGGACAAGAATGACCTCTCGCCATCGCAGTCGTCCTCCAGTCCCATCATATCGAGTTCCCCGGTACCGCCTACCACCACCTCCTCGTCGAGGAACCGTGGCGGTAGTCGCAGTAAGAAAAACTACTCCATGATGTCGGCGAACGGTCAACAAAAGTCAAGTTCGACGAGTCAGCCGTCGTCTTACGGCAACGACAAGATGTCCTCGTCTCTGATCAAACCCCCATACTCGTACATAGCCCTGATCACCATGGCGATCCTACAATCGCCCCAGAAGAAGCTCACCCTAAGCGGAATCTGCGAGTTCATCATGTCAAGATTCCCCTACTATCACGACAAGTTTCCCGCCTGGCAGAATTCCATCAGACACAACCTCTCCTTGAACGACTGCTTCATCAAGATACCCCGGGAGCCGGGGAACCCAGGCAAAGGTAACTACTGGACCCTAGACCCTCTGGCCGAGGACATGTTCGACAATGGAAGCTTCCTGCGACGCAGGAAGAGGTACAAGAGGCCTCCGCCGCACTACGTCCTCCGGGATAGGGCCATCATGGCGACTTTCGCCATTTGCGGCGACCGAGGACCCTGTCCCGGAGGTGGCGGTGGTCATCCAGGTACTCTGGCCTATCCCAGTGCCGCCTACCTGTCTCCGCCACCTGGTCTACCCTTACTGGACTTTTCTCCTTCCACTTTGGAAGCTCTGAAGCTCGGAGGCTTCCTGGAACCACCTCCTCCGCTGTACAAACCGGTACCGATCACCGCGCCACCGATCAGACAGCTCGATCCAACACCAACGAGGACCACTACGATACCCACTAGTCATCCTCCGATGGAGAAGAAAAGGAACTTCAGTATCGATGCCCTGATCGGCAAACAATCGGCCACCGATCAAAACTGCGGAGGTCTATTGGATCTCAGCCCGTCGGAACACCGGGAGATCAGAAGTCAGGCGTCTGCCTTTTCACCTTTGGTCTAGAAGACCTGTCCGAAGAACCGAGGCAAGAACTATTTTTATCGTTTTATCGGAGAGGATCAGGATGCAGTTACGGAAAGACGAAGAACGAAGAAGCGAGATTCAGAAGAAATGAAACGATGATGATTTCGATGTTCATTGTCAGTTGAAGTTAACATATCGGACGCAAACCTACCTCTTCAACATTCACAAACTGGCACCAATGGAAAGTGAAACAATATTAAATGGACGATAAATTCGCCCCTGGAGAAATGATAGAAGGAAGTAATTGTAAAGGAAAAAAAAGAAGTGTAGTGCAATAGTGTAGTGCTTTGTTTATTATATCAAAAGCACTGATTTCGCTCTAACGAACGATCTCTTAGCGTACGTCCCCGAAGAACTCGACATTTCCAACCCTTCTCTTCATTTTTTCCGTTCAATCTCTTAGCCGAAGAAGTAGCTTGTGCGTGTTGGCTCGTTTGTAAACGATCGATTAATATCGGCACTGTAAATACACACACTCCCGAACAAATCTTTGCTCAGCTTTCTATTGTTCGACAGAGTGAGAGAGTGGGAGAGAATGGAGGAACGACAGAGAGAGAGAGAGAGAGAGAGAAAGAGGAAAAGGGGATATTCGTTTCTGTTTGAAAAACGTAAATGTTCGATCGAAAAGGTCGGCTAGACGTTTCTAGTGTACATAGTGCTATGATTATTGAAAAATGATGAAACATTTCAGTTCTTCTCGTTTGTCTACGTCTAGGCAACAACGGTTTCGTGGAAATCCTCCTTATCGTTTTGTTTTCTTTCTAAATTGCGCTCTTTACTATGCAAACGGTGCGAGGGATTCGCTCTGTTTCAAAGCTTTTCTGTTACGAAACGATCTCGCGTTAAAAGGAAACTTTAGCAAAATGATAACTACAAGATTAAACAAAAATGAATGGTAAAAGTATTCAAGGAATTACTTATATAATTATCAGACACTCGGTTTCCCTAAAAAATGGCGGGAATTTCAACTAATCAAAGAATATCATTGTATTAGAATTAGAATCACGAGGCGCGAAACGCGTCCGTCTGAAAACACTATTTGTTCGTGTTTTCTTTCCAATTTCAAGGCTCTGCAAGACAAGCAGGATTCCTACTTATTTCCGTTATCGTCAACGTTTATGTAGAACTGATTAGGCCGTGGTTCGCGTGCTCGAGACGTGAATGACGCTTGGCACGATAACGAAAATCATTGCCCTAATAATAGAGCGCACCTCTTGCTTAACACATATCGTTGGAAGAAAAAACATGGGATAGTAATTTTTCCAAATATATTCAATGGTGTAAATAATATAGTGTAATTGCAAATTATGATTAATTACCAATTAACGGCTGTTTAAACGAATCAGCTGATGTAAAAATGACACTATATTGCTTCCACCGACTATACACTTTACCGTTCAATCTGTGCCATGAAACGAAGAAAGCAGAGATTTAACGTTTAGCTACAAAATGTTTTATTCGATAGAATCTTTTATACTTGGACAAATTCACTGTTGAACGATTAAGTTTTAATGTATTGTACGATGTTGCTTATCTTATCCAGGCGAAGAGAAGAAGTAAAGAATGAAAGAAGATAGAGGCGAGAAAAGAGACGCGGTCTCTATTTGAGAATAATCCATGATTATTATTTGAATGATGTATATTTTACTGATCCCGTCTCGACTCTCTGCTGTCGTGTGTGTTAAAGTATTGCGACGAAAATTAAAACGATACGTCTGTTTGTTCCTTTACTAAATAAGTACCGATGCCATAATGTATGTTTAGTTATAGGTTATCGTTACACTTGTCTCCGTAGATTTAGTAAGTATTATACGTGTCAAGATGATAGATTTATAATAACGTGTAATAATGTCAACAATAAAGTACCGTTAAGTATAAAGATCGTTGTTTTTCGTCTACAAGTTCCTATCGTATTTTCTACTGGTGACAAAACGAGTAGACACACGCTAATTCCCTGCCATGCAATTCCCTATCTATTAGAGCAAATCGTGTGCAAAAAAGAGGAAGGCTAAGATAAATTATACTAATTCATTGAACACAGCAGGTATGAAAAGTCTGCTCGATCGATTCGCTATTAGTCCGTTCCGTGTAATGAATCTCTTTCCCATCGTCCTAATTGTCAACTGGCGGCACGTTATTTACTCGAACGAGCGTGGAATTATGAAAGGGACGATTCCGTCCCTCTGTAGAGGATGCACACCTCTGTGCCACGTATCCGTGGTGACAATACAAACCGAAACAAACACTTGGCGGCACGTGAGCGGCACGTGTCGGCCAGGATATATTACATTCCGAATGCACACACACTTGACGAACGATTAAAGGGGTGTACAATGGCCGAAGAACCGTGATCGTGACAACGATGAACACGCTCCGGGGGCTATCTTCCCACTTTTCTTGGCTACTTTCGATGAGAAACACGAGATACTTTCGGTACTCGACTCCCGAAAGTAAATAACAATCTATTTTCATGGGAGATCTTAATACCTTTCTAATCAGACACGCGATAATACATGCAAAGATTTAATTTTTAGTATTCTTGTTCGCTCACCTATGCACGGTGTGTCGCAGGAGGCACGTCTGTATCTACTGCAGTAGTCAGTGGTCAGACATCAAGTTCCACGGTAGATATACCGACACCTGAAATCAGACAGAGGAAGATTAGTACCTGCTCGAAAGGAAAAGAAAATATGAACAAAAGGAGGCTAGAATGTAGAATAGGGATGAATTAAAAAAGGCGTGCGATAGGGTGGTCGACGAGGTTCGAAAAGCTGCCTCGTTCTGGCTGTTTTCGTCACGATCGAGGAATGTAATATCGTCACCCCAAGCGACAAGAGTTGCCTTCGAGAGTATCGCCGTTTAGAATACCACGAGGGGGATCTAGGGGGTCTGGATTAAACTGCAATGAAAATCCACTCATTTTCTACTCCCTTCGCTTCGCTTCCTCCTGTTCTGCGCAGACACGCCTTCATCGAGCAGGGTAAACAAGATATTACCTTTATACCTGCCTTTGTCTTGCATTTTTATCCTGCTGCTCGCTTATTTCGTTCTGTCATTAAGAATCTTTAGCGACTAATAAAAATATCAAAATGTCAGATAACCGTGTCTAATTGAATTCATCGTTGCGAGAAATTTAAAAAAAGAGAGCCGAAAGTAGAAAATCATTCCTCGTTCTCCAGTAACCCTGAAAATTGCTCCATCAGCAACGATCATAGTCGCGCTTTAGAAGAGTCGTTATATTTGCGCGATACGGTTAAGTTGTAAGGACGGTAACAAGTCGAGGAAAGAGTACGTGTCGCGTGTGAAAGATTCCCTGGCTGTTGGGCGAGCTACTTCGCCTCATCCAACGGAACAAGCAATGACCAATATTATGATAATTCCCAGCCACCCTCGTAGCTCGGTCGTCGCGTTTTATCTTACACCGGCTCGACACGCTTTACACCACCCCCGTTATTCCCCGGTTTCACCCTTTTGCCAACATCAAGGTGCACGAGTCGCGAATATGGGCAGCCATATTTGAGGGTGCGGGCGTGGCTTTCCGGTTGCCCGGGGTAACCGGCACCAGCGTTATCCCGATATCGACCTGGGAGCAACGAGAAGGGTGGCTAGGCTTCTGTCCGGGAGGGAAAATGTTATCACTGCTTTGTGGTGGCTAAGATAGCAACCCACTTTCCCTCTAACCCTTCTTCGTCCCTCCGTGAATCCTCATCACCTGCCACCCCCCTCCACCTACCTACTTCCTCGCTCACCCCCTTTTCCGAGCTTCCGAGCTTTACGCTTACCAACATCTTCCGGACGCGTAAAATTCCGGAACATCCTGTTTCCTGCTCGACCACGAGTTAACGTGTTTATGGATTCGATCTGTCGGTTGGCTTTTGTCAACCATCACGATGGCTCTTAAATCAGATGCTTCAGAGGGCGTAAGAATTTTAATGCCGTGCTTTCCCAGAATATTAACATAGTTCATTTTGCGTGTAAATAGTAACATAATATCATATTAATTTGAAAATGGATGAAAGTTTATTCCATTTCGAATAACAGAAGAATTTTTTTATTTTAACAAAAAATATTTTTGCCAACAAAATTTTATTGGAACCATGACACGTCTCCACAATGTTGTATACTGCAAATTCCGAAAGGAATGCTTTATTTTCGAAAAGAATTCGTTATTTTGATTCCAAAACACACTGGGTTTCCAGCTAACGAAATATTTCCCCTGTTCGTTGAATTGTAGAAAAATAATTCCAAAAAAGAGTTACACGATAAAAATGTTTCCATATACAAAATAACGAGAGAAATAAATATTTTCGGGTGTACGTCCATTTCATCCCCTTAAAAGGAACTTAATTAAATTCTTGATTATTGTGATAAACAATAATTTTCCATGTGTTTGACAAGGCGATAGTTAATTGAAAAAAAGATAATACATAGAAATGGTGACATTATTAAGAGGGATGATCCACTGCGAACATGGTACGGGATTCACGAGAGAAAGAGAGACTACAGAGAGAAGTCCTCGGCGTTGTGTCGCAGAGTACGAAGGAATTTTGAGAATGTGTGCGAACCAAGGATGATATTAGATTCTTGGACAAAGTTTTCGCATGGTCGAGGTCTCGAGAGCTGTTCTAGAGTCAGCTCATCCGTGAGGAAGAGAACCCGTGTTAGCTAGCCTTCGGCATTGATTTCTTCTTGCCGTTTTTGCCTTCGTTCCCGACGATAGAATACCAGCCAGCTTTAAATTAAACCTCTCCTTATCCTTCATTTGTTCTACACCCTTGTTTCGTGGCTTTCTTTTCCACTCATAGTGTCATCTGTTTTCTGGCGCAAACTACCATTTATGGGTCACTTTACCCTCGTTGTTCGATCAATGGACATTCAGAGAATTAGATTAAATCCGATCTATATAGAATTTAAATTTCATTAGACTTAATCATTCAGCAAATGTACCCATTGAAATCCATTGTTCTTCGAATAAGCCGTCGATCTACAAGAGGCGAGAATATATATTTTTTATGCGGACGAGAGGTGGGAAATGGTACAATGGATAAGAAAGTACGACATTTATAATGTATAGGTTTCTTGGGAAGGTTCAGGCATGTGCCTTGAAACTTTTGTCCGCTTTTGCCTCGCTACCAGAGTGGTTTCGAAAGAGAGAAATAAGTGTATAAGAATATGTATCTACATAGTGTGTTCGTGGATGGAATATAGAGATATGTAAAACGAGAATACATTAGGGAATAGCTTTCGATACCGTTTCTTTCTCGGTCTACTTGAAAAATCCGGAACCAATAACGTTTCACAAACGAATCGACGATACAAAGGAAGGTAAAACTAGAAATGACAATTTTATTTATATTAACACCATCCTACTTTCTTTGCCCTGCCGCAAGATTTCTGATGAAATAATTCTAAGGCTCATAAACAGGAGGCATGAAAGTAGAAGAATACGTAAACAGAGTAGAAAAAGGAGTGCAAATAAAAGCGTAACAATCCCCGTGGGAATAGACACTTGGCTTTACGTTTAAGGACACAGGACCCCATGAATGCTTGTACGCGTGCACACACCCAGGAGGAAGCGCAGTTTAATGCACTGTTTGCTGTTTGCACTTCGTACTAATGGCCGAGCTTAGCAAGATTTAAATTTGACGGTTCGTGGGCATGGCCCGCAGGGAAGCTATCCTCTGTCCCCAGGACGATTTAAACTTCGGCCTACGTAATAATTCGAGCAAGTTGGACAGCCTGCGGCCATCGTACTCTTCCTTTTCTTCTCCTAGCAATGGGATCAAATCCAATATGTACTTATGAACATTGATAAACTTAGAACTTATAGACAAAGAAGGAAATAATAGTTCTGTAATAAATAAATACTGATTGGAAAATGTTAATTGATCATTTTCGCTGGTCCTTTGTCCATTGAATCAATTTTTTTAATGTTAAAATTCTTCACGAGTACATATCAGATTTGCTTCCATCGCTACTTCTTACCCTCTGGCTCCTTTTTTCTTTCTGCCATCTTAGTTCGCGGATTCGTGGAATTTTAATAGGTACATTAACGCCGGCGGAAGCGGAAAAAGTCGCCGGTGGTCGTTTACTTCGTTCTGTTGCCTAGCATCGAGAAGTAAATCGGTGTAATTCTCCTTTGCTTATGCAAGGTGTTAAAATTTCAAAATTTTTCATTGATGTTCCATTCGAAGCTGGAAATGATTTAAAATTTTTCATCCACGCGTCCGTCGCGTTCGATTGAACAGTGTTACAAAATTTTCCATGGTAATTCACGGTAATTTTTCCGGTCCCGAACGTTTTCGAGGGACGAACATCCCTCTCGTCAAATTTCCATGGCAATATTTTCGTTGAAGCGATTCACGCGTTCCCGATTTTCGAACGGACGAGTTCGTTTAACGTCGCGACCGCAATGTAATACACCACGGGTAAAACATTATAATTATTATTGGCCGATTGATAAAGTCCCTGTATAAACTTAGCCTTCAGAGTGAATTACGCTTTTCGCGAAAGGCTAACAGATCGGGGATCGCGTTTGCAGTGCGTTTGGCGAGTTCACAAATTTCCCGCTCCAATCATTCGTCAAATATTTAGTATAATTAATAATCCTTCGCGAATGTAACTGGAAATTATTCTATCTCGTGCTGTTTCAAAGTCAACGATCAAATATCGGCTTAAAACAGCTGTTTTGGGAAAGATTATATTTTGTAATTTTTAGTACAGATCGTTCTTGCCAATAAAGGAAAAAGAGAAGGCTACGTTAGAACGGTGATGGTTGAAAAGTATTAGAAGGAAAGCCGTTTGAATTAGCGCGTGTAGAGGGTGAGAAGCAATAGAATAATCATGCGAGACGTTAACCTGTTAGAGCATTAGTGGCGC